GCGGGATAAAGCATGGTGAGGTAGGCCCGGCAAGCTTCCTCCCCTCCCTAAATGCAAGCCTCTGTGCCACAACCGCACCTGGCAGAGTGGAAGGGAGAGAGGCCAGAACTAATGCTTCCCGCAACCCTCCAACAGGCCAGAATGGGGTGGCTGGGAGCAAGGGCTGGCATTGCGTGGCTTCAGCCACTTCTTAAGCCGGCCCCTGCATCTCTGGTTCCTAGTGCCCACCACCCCACCCCACCCCACCCCACCCTGGCCCTAGAACAAAGGCCCCTGACTCAGATCACCAAACCCCAGGTGGCTGGGCAGTGCCCTCTGCTGGTGGTGGCTTGGAATTTGGTCCATGCTGCTGGTTGACCCAGGGGTCAACTCTCTGTCCTGAGACTGGAGCCTTCCATCCAAGGCATACAATCTCCCAGAACATCTCAGCAGGCAGTTGGGAGTACTGGGCTCCATTTTACCATTAGAGAAACCAAGGTGCCATGTGACAGGTTCCCCCATTCCCAGGCCTCGTGGCTTTGGGCTGGTTCGGCTCCTTATTCCCTTTATGCCTTGGTTTCCCCACGCTCACTGTAAAGCTTAGATCTTCCTCCACTTACCCAGATGAAGCAAGGCAGCGTACACGTGACTTCCCTAAGAGAGAGGCACTATCACTATCTGCTTCCCCTGCGTTCTCGGCCTGGCTCCCAGCACGGCAGAGACTCTGGCACTTCCTCTCACTGGAGCCTTTCCTGGAATCTGCCAAATCTCTCTCCTTTCTTCCCACCCCCTCCCTCCTCATCACCCCTCTGCCTCCTGTGACTTCCACTGGCTGTGCATCCAGCTGATCCATGACCAAGATAATCAGATTACCTTGGGTCCAGAATAATCTATTCCATATGGCTTGCCAGCTCAGAGGCTCCAGCAGCTAAAGGTGTGAGGAAGGGGGGTGATCTTAGTTGGAAGGGGCTCCCTGGGAGCCTTAGGGGCCTTAGCTGGGAAATCTGCTGGGGAAGGAAGAAGGTGGAGGAGAAGCCTAAGGGGCCTGCCTGCTGAGCCCCCTGACTGCTCTGGGGCTCCAGGTGACTGCAGCCTTATCCATCTGGGACCCATGGGGGCTTAGGATCCATGCTGGGGGAGGCGGGTACTGGGCACTCCCAGTGCTTTCTCCATCTCTGCATTGGGGGCAGGTGGCTGCTATAGGACACCGAGCTTCATCATTCTGGGGCACTTGTACTTTCCATACGAGAATTCTCCACCTCCATCCACCAGGGCTCTGGTACTGCTGGTCCAGGGTGGGTGTGGAAACCTTCCTCTTTTACATGTCCACTGATCCCTGTGACTTGCGACAAGATGTTGTGGATGCTTGAGGACTGGGGAAGTTTCGAGGAGGAAAGGAACCCCTCTCGTCTTCCAGAGGAGATAGGAGAAGGTGGTGGGGAGGACAGAACACAGGCTTTGACCCTGACAGAAGTAAACAGGCTGCAGCCCTGCCCCTGTTTGCGTTGTGACACAGGACAACCTCTCTACACTCCATTTCCTCATCTGCAAAGGGAGCAATGACACCCACCTCACCACAGGGTGGTGAGCTGTGACCCAGCCAGGCCCCAGCACAGTAGCAAACATGCACGTGAGTGTTGCCCAATTATCCTGTGGCGCAAAAGTAGAAGCTGGGGCTGAGATGGAGAGTGAACTCCCCACCTGATGCAGGTGGTACAGGGCAGGACAGGGATTCTATTCTAACCCACACTGGCCACACTCCAGAAGGGTGTCCTAGGCCGTGTAAAGGTGACAGCTTTCCTCCCCTGAAAGGGGCTGGTGCCAGGGTGTAATGGGAAGATCCTGGCCGCAGGGGACACCTAAATGAGGAGCTTCCCAGGAGATGCGCCTGCTGATGCTAAGCAGGCTGGCAGCAGAAGAGCTGCTTCCTTCTCCTGGGGCCTCTGGCTCCGGCGGGGACCGGGATTAGGGGCTACAAGGGGAGTATTGACATAGCACCTTTGATTAGCACTCCTGTGTCAGGGGGCTGGCCGGGAAATGAGAGCACAGAGGCTGAGGGGTGGGAGGGGGGCCGCGTCCAGGACCTCAGGCTTGGCCCGAAGAGCTGGCTGGTTCCTAGCGGGCAGGCTGAGACCCAGGCCCCAGCCCAAAAGGATGCTGCCCTGTGCCTGCCCCCCCAACACCTCAGCCAAGGACCCCAACTGAACTTTCACCTCTGCTCAGTGGGGCTACCCCAAGGCCTCATTTCCCAGCCTTACACGTTGGCAGGCGAAGGCAGGCTCGGGCCAGGGGAGCAGGAGCCACTGGCTCCGGCACTTGTCAAAACACAGGCCCCAGAGGTGTGAAGGCCTCACCCCAGCGGGAGGGCGTGTGGGCCATGCTGCCCGGAGAACTCATTAACTTGGGCAACTCCCAAACGAGCCCCCAGGAGAGGCTGGCGATAAGGTGATCAAAGGTGAGAGAGGCCCGAAGGGTGAGGTGGGGGGAAGCAGCGACTGGCAGGAGGTGGTAAAGCCCAGGCTCTGGGTTGGGAGTCCCTCCTCTGCCCCAACTTGGCTCCATTGGGCCCACTGGCCATGACTCTTGCACGAACTGAGCCCGGACACCCCAGGGGCAGCAGGAGAGGGAGGGATCCCCAGGTGGCAGCCTTGAGGGCTGAGGTCCCCAAGGTGGGGGTGGGGGTAGGGGGGAGCCTGCCATCTACCCTGCCTCTCTGCGCTTTCCCTGGCCTCTTTTTTTTAGCCTCCAAGCCTGACACCAGACACTCTGCTCAGGGCACAAGTGCACAAGGGACTTTAAATCTTAGGGCCCAGATGTGAGAATCCTCAGGAGCCTGAGCTGTGTTTTTCGGATGAACAGCCTACCTCCCACACATGCCTGTTGTCCAAAACATGTCTAGTTGATTTTGTACTTAATAAAATAAAAAGTCATTTCTGCAACAAACCAGAGCTGGCGCTTTCCTCTGGACAGGAAGAGCGGGCCTCAGAGACAGGATGGCAATGGACTTTTTTATACCCTTGGGACTTGTTGAGCTTTGGACTTTTTTTGTGAATAAGGTGCATGTGTTGTATTTTCAAAAAGATGACAATGAAACCAAAGGGCAGCTGACTGCCGAGGTGTTTTGGGGGTCCTTCTGAGTTTCCTCAATTATCAGCTGCAAAGTGGAATTCCGAATCATGTGGGAACTGGAGGGATTTTTTGACATTCAGAAGGTTGGCAGCAGAGTGCCCAGAGCCCTCTCAGATCCCACCCTCCTACCTAATCGTCTTTACTCTGCACCTCCTCCCCTTAGTGCACAATATGCTCTACCAATAATAGTTAGTCCTTTTGGGTCCTATGAGATTGAAGGGGCCCAGACGCTGGCTTAGATCTGGAGCCCCAGGAAGGCATCCCTTGACCAGGGTCCAAAAGGAGCAGACCCATTGACAGCCTCAGGCTAAGGAGCACCCTCCTGGAGCAGGCTCTCCTTGGGAATAGGTGGGTCTACAGCACATGCCCAGGGAATGGGCTCCTCCCCTTCTTCCCAAGGGTGGGTTGGCACTGCCTCTCCTGGATGTGACCATAGGCATAAGAATTCTGGGGCTGCTGGGACAGACTGCAGGGGAAGAGGGTACAGAAGGTGCCAGAAGAGGCCAAGGGCAGTAGAAGATAAAAGAAAGAAGGGGAGGGGGGTGGGCAGAGATACCAGGGAGAAGGTACTAAGCCACTTGTCCCCCCTTTGCTACAGACCAGCTCACCCAATGGTCTCACTAGGCTGGAAGCCATGGGCGATGTGAAACATTACACCCCTTGCCCTGAGAAAGATGGTATATACCACTTCTCTTGAAGACCTGATGCTAGACATCAGGTACTTCACAGTCTAGTGGAGAACAGATATCCGTGCACAAAGTAGCTATTATGACAAGGTGCAAACTCAAACTCCTAGGGGGTCAGGCAGGCAGCATAGGTTCTCTGAGATTTCCTACACAGTCATATTGTCTATAAATGGAGACAGTTTTATTTCTTCCTTTCCAATATGTATGCCTTTTATTTCTCTTCTGTGACTACACAAGCTAGGCCCTGTAGGACAATGTTGAGTAGGCCTGGGTAGGCACAGATATACTTGCCTTGTTCTCAGTATTAGGGATAAGCATTCAGTCTTTCACTGTTTAGTATGATATTAACTGTGGGTTCTTTGTAGATGCCTCTTATCAGGCTGAGAAAGTTCCCCTCAATTGCTAGTTGGCTGACAATTTTTATGATGAAGGGGTATGAATTTTGTCAAATGCTTTCTCTGTGTCACATCCACTCACATTTCAACTGCAAAGCCTCTGTACCCGCCCCAAAGTGTTAGGATACCAGCTAGAGGCCAGTGGTGGCAGCAGGCCAGGCCCTTGGTGCCGCCAGGCTGAGGGTGTCCTGGAGGGCATCAGGCTTCCCCTCTCTCAGCTCAGCTGGTCCAGCAACTTGACCAGATTTGGCCAGCTTGTTGGACTTGCCTCGGATAGTTTCCCTTCCTCCCATGACCATCACCACCAGGTAAGGCCACGTCCAGGACAGCCTGCCTCAGAGGAGACACGGATTACTGTTCCTCTCACCTCTAGGGGGGGATCAGGGCCCCACTCGGAGTCCCCATCCTACAGATTCTACAGACCTGGCTGCAGCATGCCCCAGGGCTCCCATTATACCAACTGGGAACGACTTTGCAAGAAAACGCTAAGGTCCCAACAGGTGAAGGTGGCCCCCAATCCGGGTGCTATCCTTCAGGTCCCTGACCTGGCCACTGGGCGACAGCAAGAGGCCCGAGCGGCCGGGTCAGGTGCCCAGGCGAGGGCCCAGGTGGGGCCGACCCCAGCAGCCGAAGGGCCCCGCACCTTCAGCGCCCCCGTTGGTTCAAAGGGTCGAGCCCCGCCCCTTCCAGGCCCCGAGCCCGCTTTGAAGTGCAGATGATGCGGCCTGGAAGGGGCCACTTCACACCTCGGGCTCGGGATAAAGCGGCCGCCGGCCGCCGGCCGCCGGCCCCCAGACGCGCCGCCGCCGCCATGGCCCAGTCCCTGTGTCCGCCGCTCCCCGAGCCCTGGCTCCTCTCCGCCTGCTGGGGCCCGGCTCGGCATCCGGACGGCGGCTGCTCCCCCGCCTCGTCCCCCGACTCCTGGGGCAGCGTCCCGGCCGGCAGCCCCGAGCCGAGCCCCGTGCGGCCCGGCGGCCCCGCGGCCCCGCGAGCCCGCAGCGCCGGGAGGCGCGGAGCCCGCGGCAGCCGCCTGGGGTCCGGCCAGCGGCAGAGCGCCAGCGAGCGCGAGAAGCTGCGCATGCGCACGCTCGCCCGCGCCCTGCACGAGCTGCGCCGCTTTCTGCCGCCGTCCGTGGCGCCCGCCGGCCAGAGCCTCACCAAGATCGAGACGCTGCGCCTGGCCATCCGCTACATCGGCCACCTGTCGGCCGTGCTGGGCCTCAGCGAGGAGAGCCTGCAGCGCCGGCGGCGGCGGCGCGGCGACGCGGCGGCGCCTCCGTGCTGCCAGCTCTGCCCCGACGGCGGCGGCGGCGGCGGCGGCGGCGGCCCCGCGCGCAGGCGCAGACGCAGACGCCGGTGCAGGTGCAGGTGCAGGCGCGCGCCCCGGGGGGCCTGGGCTCCGCGGTGCCCTGGGGGTCCCCGCCGGCCCGTCCCGGAGCGCTAGCAGCGCCCGATCCGCCAGACCCACCGGTGCTTTATGAGGAGGCGGCGTTTTCGGAATCGCAGGCAGTGGAGCCGGGCCCGTCGTCTCCGGTTAGTACTTCTTCCCGCCCGGGACGGCCTCCCGGAGCCCTGGGGCGGGGGTGGGGTTGCTACGTGCTGGCCGCGTCCCCGGCGCGCAGCTTACGCTGGGAGGGGGAGCTCGCCCTGCGGCACCCCCACCGGCAGCCTGGGCCGGCCTGCTTGCTGTCCGGAGCAGCGTAGCTGGTGTGCCCGGGGCGCTCAAGTGGCGAGGGGAGGGAGAGGACACGCAAGGGACAGAGACCTGTGTCCCGCCAAAGGTGCCCTGGGAGTGGAACCCACGAGCGCGACACCCACACCCCGCGGCCAGTGCTGACGGGAACTCCGTTCCCTCTCCCTCCGCAGCTCTTTCCCGGCGACGTGCTGGCCCTGTTGGAGACCTGGATGCCCCTTTCGCCCCTGGAGTGGCCGCCGGCCTGAACAGATGAAGTGACAACGTACAACTGGAGCCCTGTGACCATCGAGGCATTTTTGTCCTGAGCACCTTCAAAACGGCGCCCCCCCCCGACAGACTCCCTTTCCTAGGAGGGGGCACTTGTGATACCGGCATGGACATTCCTGAGAGTGAGAACCTGTCCCCACCCAGGACGCCTCTCCCCAGCCCCTCCCGCAATGGAAGGACCCATAGGTAGACCCTTGGAGCCCGGCAGGGGGTGCCTGCCTCATATGTATTTATTTATTTGTGAATAAACGGTGCTGGTGTCAATTGGCAGTTTCTTCTTCCTCTACATGGACACAAAGCTCCCTCCCCTTCTTCAAAGAACCTAGGAGAATCACGAGAGTTTCTTGCAGTCTTCAGTCCTCAAAATACACCGGCTCAGACCCTTTCCCCCTCGCCCCCAGCCCTGGTTTAGCATCTAGTATTCTAGGAAGGTCAGCCTGGAAGGGGGAGGTGCTGCAAATGCGGAGGTGGTAGCAGGTGGAGTCTGTCCATGTTTTCTTTGAACCCGGTGGGAGCTGGGTAAAACCAAAGCATCTCTGTAGAAAATACATTTCCGTTAGTACTTACTGTGCACCAGGGCCTTTACACATTTTATACCCGAATAACCATTTTACGGAAGAATAAACTAGGGATCAGCACTCAAGCCCAGATATGAATTCAGAATCTGAGTTTCTTATCCCTGGTAGGATTTTGCCAGGGGACAGGAGCTCCAAGGGTTCATTTCATGCGTCCCAAGCCCCTTCTCCCCTTGTGCTGGAGCATCATGACCTGAACCTTGGGATTTTCTCATCTACCTCCACTCTGGTTTCTCTCCCAGGTGGTTTAGGGACATAAAATAACATCAGTGAGTCAGTCCGGAGAGTTTATGTAACTGTGCCCTTCTAGCAGCCTTGCTAGGGTGGAGAGGCTCATGGGGTTGCATCCAAATCCACACACCTGACCTGGAACCACACTCCTGTCTACATTGCTGGGTTCAGGTCAGGGACACACTATAAGGGGAAGAAGAAAGCCTTGACCCAGAAGGAGCCTGGTCTCACTCATGGGGTCTGGTAAGCAGTTAAGCCTTAATGGAGAGGTGTGGTGGGGCCAGGTCAGCCTCTGCCCAACCCTGGGCCCTCTGCGGATGGATACCGAGTTTTCCCCTCTCCTTCAAGCATCTTTGAAGTACAGGTGTTGGTGTTTGTTTTTTATGAGAGCTTTATTGAGATATAGTGTATGTACCCTAAAATTCAACCTTTTAATTCAATGGTTTTAATGTATTTATAGTTATGCAACTGCCATCACTGTCTTAATGTAGAATATTTTCATCACCCCCAAAAGAAACCCTGTGCCCACTAGCAGTCACTCTGATTATCCCACCCCTCACTCCTCACCCCCAACCCCAGCACACTCATCTACTTTCCATCTCCATAGATTGGCCTGTTAGGGACATTTTGTATGAATGGAATCACACAATATGAGGCCTTTTGTGTCTGGGTTTTTTCATCTGTCATAACATTTTCAGGGTTCATCCGTGTGGTCTCGTGCATCAGTACTTCTTTTACTGCCCGGTGGTATTACATTGCATAGATATAACCTGGTTTATCTGTTTGGCCGTTGATACTGATAGGGTTGTTTTGAAACCACCTCAGAGATCATTTCCAGGGCTCGCCAGGCCGGGAGGGGCAGTAATTCAGAACAGGCCTGCGGCACTGCTGTGTCATTCAGGCGTTCAGGCGCACCCTGGCCAGCATTTGGCCGCAGAGAGTGGGATCCAAAAGCAGAGGCCCTGCAGGAGGGCAGACCTCACACCTCCGATGACCACCTCCTTTCCCACACCTCCCCTCCCACCTTGCCTTCCCCTCCCAGGACCCTAACTGGAGCCGAGTGGGAAGGCTTTTCCAGGGGCCTAGCCAATTTAGAAAATCTGTTTGCATGGCAAAGGCCCTGTGGTTTAGGATGGGGAATTAAAGTTATTAGCAAGTCTTTTCACAGATAAGTGGGTCTCATCAGCCAGCGCCCTCCCCTGGGGAGAGCCTCACCCTCCCTCTCGGAGCCCGGGAGCGGCCCAGTGTTTATTAGCACCTGGGTGTGAATTTTCATTAACAGGTCTCTGCTAATAAGATAGAGGATGGGGATGGAGGGGGGGGGTCTCCTCGCACTGCTCCTGCGCCCCCTTGCTGGGCCAGCGCCACCCGCCCAGGAGGAAGGCCGGTGTTCCCGCTCCGAGGCCCTGGGACTGTCCCTGGCATCTAGGTAGGTCAGAGCGTGTGCTCTCTCAGGTCTCAGCCAACTAACCCATGAAAGCGGTCGGCTGGTGGGGCCCTGTTAAGGATGGAGAAGTTGAGTAGAGAGAGGCGCCCTAATGCGCCCCACATTTGGTCAGTGGCGGTGTTGGATTGGGACACGGATGTGAGTGCGTCTGTGTGCTTCCCCAGGTCACATGGTGTTTGTCAGAGCTAAACGCCAGCCTGTGTTGGGGACTGGGTGGCGCCCCACCTCACCCGGGTCCCGGCCTGGAGGGAGTGGGCGCGGACCTGCTGCAAGACGGGAGCCAGGGAATGGCATCAGCAGGGGGTGCCCCACCAGGCCGCTGGCCAGCGGTGCTGCCTCCTCCGGGGGAGCTGCTTTCACAGGGGCCCAGTCAGAGCCCATGGGGTACAGGCACACACGGAGCAGCTCCCATCAGCCAGGCTCTGTGTTAAGGGATTTATTTATTTATTTATTTAAGATTTTATTATTTGACAGAGAGAAAAAAAGCACAAGCAGGGGGAGACTCAGAGGGAGAGGGAAAAGCAGACTCCCCGCTGAGCAGGGCGCCTGGCATGGGGCTCCAACCCTGGACCGAGATCAAGACCCCAGCCGAAGGCAGATTACTCGCCTACTAACCTACTCAGGTGCCCTGTATCAAGGGCTTTAAATTCAACATCTAACCTCAAGGCAGTTTAGCCTCCCAGGCACAGGTGAAGTGGGCAGGTGTGTGTGCTTCTACCCGTTGGACAGATCAGGACGCTGAAGCATGGACAGTGGGGATTTTTTTACAGAGCTAGTACTGAGCGGTTGGGGCAGATGGGCAGATGGTGGGCAGTCGTCGACAAATTGGGTCCTCGGAATAGTGGCGGCAGGCAAGTGTGTGTGTTGGGGGGTGTAGAGTAAGGCTCTTGATGCACCTTGACCACCAGTGCCACCGATTGCCAGCAGGGAAGCTGCTTCTGCTCGCCGAGGAGGCCGGACTGTGGGTGCTGATGCTGGCTGGGCCGCGTCCTAAGGAGGGGCAGCTAAGCTGATGGTTCTGTACTTAAGACATTGATTCAAGGACATGTTACGTGGGTCACCATGTGAACCTCGAGGACAAGAAGGGGGTGGTGGTCATGGGCTGGCTGTCTTCCCTCTAGCAACTTGTAGCTACATAAACAAGGCCATCTGAGGGGCATACAGATATGCCAGGATTCTGAGACACCCTGTATCTGGAGAACTGGGGCTGGTCCTGACTGCAAAGCCCCTGCTTATCCCAGGGCCAGGCCACTTTGGCCACCCAGCCCCCCTGCCCCCAGGTGTTGTCCCTGCATTTGCACAACCCTGAGCCTGATGCCTTCTAGTTTGGCACCGTGGGCACTCCTTTGACTCACATTAATTCCAACAGTCTCCTGAGAAGACCCAAGGTTCTCCTTTTTTTTTCTTTTTTTTTTTTTTTTGAGAGAGAGATCGAGCATACTTGGCATGAGCAGGGTGGGGGAGGGGGAGCATCTCAGGCAGACTCCCCACTGAGCATGGAGGAGATGGGGTTCCATCTCAGGACCCTGAGATCATGACCAGAGCTGAAATCAAGAGTTGGACATTTAACTGAGTGCCCCCAGGTGCCCCAAGAACACCCTAAGTTCTTGGTGCTTTGGAGGCATTTTGCTCCCCAATGGGCCAGGACCTCCTTGGGGCCCCCTGGCACAGCCCACTCAGCCCCCCGGTGTACCAGTCCTGAGTGGGGCTAGAGCTGTGGGGCCCCTGCTCAGCGCTGCTAAGGCCTCTTCTGCCCATTTCCCTGCACATGGCCAGGCCCTGGGTCCTCTGGCCCCCCCCTCCCCTCTCCCTCCTGTGGACCAGGCATAGGAGGTGCCTTGTGAATGCCCCAACTCCCCTCCTGCTCCCCGCTCTCCCCATACTAGGAAACGAGGCAGCAGCGGGGTGTGGGCAGCACATGACTCTGGAGAAGGCAGACCGGGCACCTCTGGGGTCTTGGCCAGCTCAGCACCCCTCCTGCCTTCTCCCCTTGAGACCTGGCACTTTCCTTGCTTCACATGGCTGCTCCTCCTTAGCTGGGGTGGGCATGACCTCCATGTCCCTCCAGGGCTGGCACAGGCCACAGGCCCACCCAGTCAGCACATGAGTGGTTCGAGGATGTGACCAGGCTCAGGGCGGGGAGAAGCAGGCTTCAGATGTTCCCAGAACCATCAAGAAAGAGACACTTGCTGTGGGTGCTGTTGGCAGCCGTGTTGCCACCCAAGCAGAGGGCCTCCCTGCAAAGGGAATCAGAATAGAGGTGGAGAGAGGTTCCTGAAGTTATCTAACACCTGGACCCAGCTACACGGGGAGCATCATGCTCCTGGGTGTTCACTTGACATGAGCCAGCCCAAAAGCTCATTTGAGTCGAGTCTCTGACACTTGATGTTGAAAAAGTCCTTTAGGGCTTGATAGAGGCTGTTCTAGGCCATGTAACCGAGCCTCAACTTCCTGTCTGTAAAATGTGGGTAATGATGATATGGACATTTCACAAGATCACTTGTGAAAGCACACACGGCAAGCACACATCATAGTAGGTGCCCCATAAATGTTAGTGTCCCGTCCCATTCGGGTGGTGGGTAAGGCCAAGGCCATCATCCCAAGTTCTCCCCCCTCATCTTGAGAGAGAGTGACCTCAGGGCAAGCTGCGTGGAGGAAGAGGGTGGTTGTGGGAGTCGTTGCTGCCCCACATGGGAAGGCAAGGGGCAGGCAGGGGGGACCTCTCCATCCAGGGACCTTCTGCGGTCTGCACCAGCACCGTGGAGGAGGTGTCGTGGCAGTGGGGAGCATGTGTGACCCAAAGGAGGAGATAGGTGGGAAAGGTCACTGAGGGTCACAGCCCCCACCTGCAGTTGGTCACAGGGAGGCTGAGACGAGACACCTGCCTGCAGTTCTCAGAGGCACCACACGATGTCCTCAGAGAGGCAGGCACAGGCCTGGAGCTGGGGAACCCCCTGCAGGGTGGAGGGGGTGCTCTGCATCCTGTCTTCTGGGTCCAGGGGCTGCTCCTTCCAGTCCTCCAGCCCTGCCCCCGGGATCCTCCAGGGTCCAGGCCAGCAGGCAAGGGGCAGTAGTGCCACAGTCCCTGCCTGCCACCCTGCCTCTCAGGCCCCTGTGACCTCAGGCAGGTGCCCAGCCACTCAGAACCTCAGCCTCTCCAAGTGATTCCAGAAAGGTCATGAGCCAGCACAGGGAAGGAAAGGAAATGGGTGGGGAGAAAGAGGTGGCCTGAGGTCTTTTGCTCATTTGAGCGAAGTGACTCTCCTTCTCTTTCTCTAGAAGATGAATGGGCCTCACAAGGCCCGGGACTCTGCCTGAAATCGTTGCCTGGGCCCTGCTGGGGTCTGCACTGGGTGGGAAGAGAGGGTTACACAGCACATCAACTTTGGAGTCTGGAAACGGTATCATTGTTTATTGGGGTGGCACCTCTGCCCACCGAGGGCTCTGACAAGTGGCTTAGGGGCATAGGCTCCCAGGGCCTACCTCCCCCTTGCTGAGGTCCCAGCCTGCCAGTCCAGGTCCCTGGGGCCTACTGAGCTGCTGTCCTCTGTCATTGTGTCTCTGGACCTCAGGGCATCCTGGGGTGAAGGCTGTGCACTGCAAAGCTTTTTGGCAGCCCAGTCACTTCCTGAAGTTCTCTCTTTGGAGCATCAAGGAATACCTGTGAAGCCGGGTCCGGTGCTCCTCCTCTTTCACCTTCTTCTCCAGCTTCTGGAAACTGTGGGCCGCATAGGTGGAGATGAGAGGAAACTGCTTCACGCCGTGTGCCCCCACTCCTCCTCCTCCTAGGTCCCCAGGTGGACCCTGCCTGCCCTGTGCTAATCTAAGAAACTCTCCAAATGGATAAAGAAGGTGTGGTGTCTATAAACAATGGAATATTACTCAGCCATCAAAAAATATGAAATCTTGCCATTTGCAATGATGTGGATGGAACTAGAAGGTATCATGCTAAATGAAATAAGTCAATCAGAGAAAGAATTATTATAGGATTTCACTCATATGGAATTTAAGAAACAAAACGGGATCATAGGAGAAGAGAGGGAGAAATAAAACAAGATAAAATCAGAGAGGGAGACAAACCATAAGAGACTCTTAACCATAGGAAACAAACTGGGGATCACTGAAGGCGAGGAAGTTGGGGGAACGGGGTAGTTGGGTGATGGACATGAAGGAGGGCATGTGATGTAATGAGCACTGGGTGTTATATGCAACTGATGAATCACTGAACTCTACCTCTGAAACTAATAAAAAAAAAAAAGACAAAAAAAGAGAAGAATTCTCCAAATGGCACATCTGCTGCACGTCTGTGTCCTCAGGACTCAGCCTGGTGCACAGCCCACCCTCAGAACACCCTTACTGCCTGACAACAGGGTGGGCATCCTAAACCAGGAGATGCCCCCCACCCCTGATAGAAAGCACGGTGTGCTGGGGGAGTCATGGTCTGTGTGCGTGGACCCCCATTAGCCACATCAGAATGCCAGCATGTCCAGTGAGTAAACACTTCCTGAACATCTATCAGTGTCACCAGCTGGACCCCAAGACCTGACCTTGACTGATCACCTGTTTGTACCCACTGACTTTTGTTTCACATTTTTCTTTAAGCTCTTCTTTTCAGCGTATCTCTTAACTCAAGCAAAAGAACTGAGGGACACAGCATCCTGTGATTAAACCCAAACCTACCCCTCAAGTAATAACACCTGCCCAGATAGACTTTCAGAGGCTCAGACAACCCAGACCAGTTTGAACTTAACACCCAACTCACACCTGCACACATGGACCATGGAGTGACCCACGGAGGGACTGACAGATTCTTTTACCTCATTATAATACTAGAATTTTGGGGTGCCTGGGTGGCTCGGTGGATGAGCATCTGCCTTCAGCTCAGGGTGTGATCCCGGGATCAAGTCCCACATCGGGCTCCCTGCATGGAGCCTGCTTCTCCCTCTGCCTGTGTCTCTGCTTCTCTCTCTGTCTCTCATGAACAAATAAAATCTTTAAAAATATATATACAAAAAAAAAATATATATATATATACAATACTAGAATCTCTGCCAAGGAGGAGCATAAGCCTCACTGGCGTAACATACACTATGTATGGGCAGCCCTGGGGGCCCAGCGGTTTGGCGCCGCCTTCGGCCCAGGGCGTGATCCTGGAGACCTGGGATCAAGTTCCACATTGGGCTCCCTGTGTGGAGCCTGCTTCTCCCTCTGCCTGTGTCTCTGCCTCTCTCTCTCTCTCTCTTTCTCTCTCTCTGTCTCATGAATAAATAAATAAAATCTTAAAAAATAAATACACTATGTATGCACAGGCATGTGTCCTTACAGCACAGCATGACCCTATAGACAACGACAAGCCTTCCTATCTAAATATTCATCCTAACCCTACAATAAAAGGAACCCATTCACCCTGACTCAGGCCATCTCTTCATTTGCTGCAAATCAAGTTTACTTGTGCGACAGTTCATCTGGTGTCATTTCTCTGTGAGTCATCTTGGAGTGAGCTCACGCTCTTCTGGTTACACTGGTGACAGGCATGGGTGTGAGTGTGGGAAGGACCAGAGTCACTTAAACAGCCCTGTAGCCCCAGTGTACTAAGAGCGACAGGAGAGAAAGAACATTTGTAATACAAGGCATTTAAATGTCATTTGATGAGTTCAAATGTCAGAAGGGGGAAGGGTAGACCCTTCCCTGGGGTGGGAGTGGAGCTTGCTCCTGGAAGAGAAGGCCTTTGAGTTGGGTCTTTTACAAAATAAGAGGTTTTTTTGTTTTTTTTGTTTTTGTAAATAACAAATGCACATGAAAGGGTACAGGAGAATCAGAGAAGCTCAAGGTTCATCCCTCTTTCTGCACGCAGATGGGGCTGCTGTAAGGAGGGCAGAGGAAGCCTTAGTTCTGGGGAAGGGGTGCGGGCTGCGGGCCAGGTTTCTGCTGGGGGGTGCTTGAGTGCACAGAGGCTGTTACAATGCTTCAGGCAAGCAGGAGGATGGCCACTTCTGGGCAGCTTTGGATCTGTTTTAAGGCTTTGCCTGCTAAGGAATATCCTCACGGAGACCTATTTGGTTCTCAATGCACTAGAATTTTTTTTTAACTTGAAAAAGTAATGTACACTTTGCTTAAAAACAAAAAATCCAAGTATGTATACAACTACAAGCAATCTCTCCCTCTCACCTCAGATCCTGGTTTTCTGTTCCCAAAGCAACTGTAATTAACAGCACACTGTAAATCCTTGGAAATTGTTTTCATGCATACAAGCATAGACATGCATAATATCTGCCACCCGCCCCCCCACCTCCGTTGGGCTCCCTGGTGTTTGTCCTGGAAATGTATCCTAGAAACTGCCTCCAGGTGGCACTCACACACCTGCCACCTTCTTTTCCCAAATGCGTACACTTGGGGTTGGCAATCTTGACACTCGGGCAATCTTTTGTTAACTTCCATCCAGGCTGCAATGAACCAACGGTGCCTGCATGTGGGAACGAAGGGCAGGGAGGAGGCAGTATGTGTGCATGTTACACACTCAGGCTTTGTTTTGTTTTTTTAAAGATTTTATTTATTTATTCAAGAGAGACACACAGAGAGAGGCAGAGACATAGGCAGAAGGAGAAGCGGGCTCCTCGCAGGGGGCCTGATGTGGGACTCGATCCCAGGACCCCAGGATCACGACCTGAGCCAAAGGCATATGCTCAACCACTGAACCACCCAGGGGTCTCCACCCTCAGACTTTGAACTCACAGTGCTTGAGTTCACCTACAAGCTGGTAACCCTGGGTGGGCAATTTGACCTCTGTCAGCCTCAGCTTTCTCACTGCAGTGGGGGTAGTGATAACAGTAAGAAAAATAAGATTATGCCTACAGAGCACTTAGCATATAGTACCTGGCACACAGCACATGCTCAGTAAAGGTTAATTATAATCATACTTCTGCCGATGATAAATTAGTGGAAGTGAAATTTCTGGGTCAGGAGGTCAAAACAACATGGATTCAATAAGTGACCACCCAAGGGCACCCAGCCGGTTCAGTCACTGGAGCACACGACTCTTAATCTCCGGGTTGAAAGTTTGAGCCTCATAGGAGGTATAGTGATTACTTAAAAATAAAATCTTAAAAAAAAAAAAAAGCAACCATCCACAAGGCTGTTGAATAGACAAAACTAGGGCAAGTTTTAAAAGGAAGCCCAACATTAAGGAGGGCACGTGATGTGATGAGCACTGGGTGTTACACTATATGTTGACAAATTGAATTTAAATTTAAAAAACAAGATAAAAGGAAGCCTGAAAATAAAGCCATTCATGTGTTCAAGACAACGTGAATGAGTTTCAAAACATAATGTTGGTGCGGAGAAGGACTTTCTCTATGATCTAATGATAAGTCATGGCTAGCCTTTACTGCAAACGCCATAATGTCCTATGCGGAGATACAGCTGTCACTGGTTTTATGCACAAAGACACTGCCGCCTGTCCCATCACACAGCTAGAGGCCCCTAGTCTGTGACCCAGTCATACTGCAGAGCTTGCACCCCAAATTTGAGGCTCTTTACACCCACCTCTCAGTGAAGCCTAAGGGAGAAGAAGATGGAAGACTCCAGCCATCTGACATTTGAAACTTCTCTTTGGCTAGATGAGCAACCAAATTTTCTCTTACCTCAAAACAAACCAGGACAAAATGATTCACAACACATTGATGAAAAATTCTTAAAATCAAAAGAAAATGAACTCATGCTTGGGGAGAAGATCCAAAGCAAGTCAAGGAAGGAGAGAGAAAAACATAGGGGTGCCTGGGTGGCTAAGTCAGTTAAGCATCTGCCTTTGGCTCAGGTCATGATCCCAGGGACCTGGGCTCGGTGAGGGAGTCTGCTTCTCCCTCTCCCTCTGCCCGTCCCCCTGCTTGTGCTCTGTCTCAATCAATCAATCAATAAAAAATGTAATGAGCCATCAATTCTTGCCTGCCCTGGCCAAGGAAGCCAGGGGCCCTGTGGACCTGGCCTGTTGTGCTACCCCAGAAGCCCACCTTCTGGCAGAAAGCTGGCTATGTAGAACCTGAATCTTGCTGGGCTTTGTATTTCAAAGGGAATAGAGAGAGAGAGAGAGAGAGAGAGAGGGAGAGGAAGGGCACTCTGTTTCTGTTTCCTGGAGTCCAGAAATTTCTGTCTTGTGATCCAGTTAGACCCAGGCAGAGATGGCAGACCAGGAAATGGTGCCTGGGGACTGGGGCTGGATGGGAACAGAAGCCAGGCCTTGGGGAAGGGGTGGCGGGGTGGGGGGTGGAGACACATATTTGATGCTAACCGGCCTCCTTTTAAAGCCCCAAAGGCCGGCTCCCTTTCACACTGGCTGTTTATAAAAGTCCCAAGTGCGGTTTTGTGAAAACAATTGGGACAGATTATTGCAAGTCTGAAACTTTGAGTCAATTGCCACATAAACCCATTGCCTTGAAATTTCACCTAGTTTTAGAGCCAACAGAAGCTGTTTCAGATATGAGGAATAAAAAGATGGAAAAAAGAGATGAAAACCTTTGGGACATATAATGGATATGCGTGATAAACAGTAGGAAAACATTAAGGACAGAGTCTAAGTTATGGGTTTGTGGATGGTCAGTGACTTTTTCTTCCAAAGCTGCTGTAGGTTTGAAAATTTTGAAAATAACGGGTGCCTGGATAGCTGGGTCGGTTGAGTCCAACTCTTAATTTTGGCTCAGGTCATGATCTCAGGGTCATGAGATTGAGCCTCACGGAGCCTGCGTAAGATTATCTCTCCCTCTCCCTCTGTCTCCCCCCTTCACCCCACATACACACACGCTCTCTCTCTCTCTAATACAAAACAAAACAAAAAAATTCAAACTAAAATATTGGGGCAGAGGCTCCTCATTGGGAAAGCCCCAGATATCAGATCTCCAAGCAGCAGAACAGGAAAAGCCTTCTTTAAATCAACATTTCCCAGTTTATTGCTGGCATCCAATCTGGAAAATAGGTTGCCACAAGGGATATAATTCGAACACTGCCATCAGGCCCAAACTGCTGTGGCTCAAGCTGGCACCAACCACAGTGTGACCCCTCCTAGCTCCTGCTGGGGCCCCAAGCCTAGTGAGCACTTCCGTAAGCTTTTCTGTTCCCAAGCTCCCAAGCCCTGCCCCTGGCCCCCTGATGCCCACCTGGTCAGCCCCTGCAGCCCTCTCCTCTGCAGAAGGCTCCTGGGAGGCAGTCCTTTCCACCCTCTCAGCGGCTGTGGGGCCTTCCCAGGGAGGGATTGGGGTATGGGACCTAAGGGCTAAGCTGTGTTGACAGAGAGGAAAGATATTTGGACAAAGGGAATGCAGAAGAGTCCCGTTCCCACAGGAACACAGACTGAAGGAGGGCAGGGCAGAAGGGCCTTGTTGTTATGAGAGCAGCCCAACCGCAGGGGAGTGGAGAGACAGATTGTAGACACAACTCTTTCATGGAAATTCCAGAGGCATTAAAAACCGTATTTAAAAGGAAGTTTTTCTTCTTTTTTTTACAAGGAAGTTTTTCTTAAAAAATAATTAACTTATATTCTGGAGTGACACCAAACCAGACTGAAAAACTCAACATGAAACAGAATCTCAGCTTAATAAAAACACTGAAGGAAATGCACTAACATATTAACAGCAGTGCTAGGGGGTTTGTGATGTTATTTTAAAAAAAATTTTTTTTGCATTGTCCTGTTTTCCAAATTTCTACAAGTGCACATATAACTTCCATTAGAAATAACGAATAATTTTTCCCCCCAGTGGGGAAGTGCTCCGTTAGAAGGAGTTCTGCTTGAAGCAAATTTCAGGGGCTAAGTAGGGCTCCTTTGATGGGCGTCCAAGTGCTAATCTCCACTTATACCGTGGCTGAGGATGGGACTTGTCAACCAGGGACTTGAGCAGCCTGAATTGGCAGGACCCTCTGCTGCCAGGCAGGAGGTGAGCCTCCTAGGGTTGGAAATGTGGGCCTGGGGTCCGTTCCCCCCATTGGCTTCTGGATCAAGTGGGAAGGCTCACCCTTTTTAGGCCAACAAAAGTGAGGCCAGACTGAAATGCAGAAACGGAGATCAGCTCCTTAAACAAAGAGTTCTCTGGGCCTCATCAAAAAAGAGCTCTAGAACGTTCCATGCTGGGACCTCCTGTGAGAACAGTCTCACTACAGCCATGACCTAAATTCATACTCTTGATTTTTTTTAACCATTATTTTAAATTTTCCAAAATAATGTTTTTCTTGGTAGAAAAGCTGCAAAGAGGGAAAATACAAAGAAACCACACATACTTCAGCACCCAACTATAACTACCCTTGCAATCGGTGTACACACTTCCAGGCTTCTTTTACTCAAAATCAGGGTTATACTGTAAATAATACTTTATAACCTGTCCTCATCTTTTATTTAGAAAAAATTCAAACCTTTTGCAATAGTACAATGAACCTGTGCCTATATTCACCACCTGTGAACATTCTGTGTGTCTCTCTTTCTGTGAATATTTTCCTGGGTTTTACTAGTTCACATTTTACTGGTTTACTGGTTCACATTTTCTCTTCCTCTCTCTAAATGTTTCCCTGGTCTGCTTGAAAGCTGGTTGTAGACTTTATTTGGCCCTAAATTTTTCAGCTGCATATCCTCAGGACAAATCAAGCCATTGAGGGTCAAAATAAGAACCCTCCATGTGAGAACAGCAAAACACTCTTGGGAAATCTTGGTAGATCTTCAATCCGGAGAAAAGTTCCTTCTGTGCTGTCCTCCTCAAGATCCACAGGCTATCCACCTCTCCTGATGAATGGGCCTACTTCCCTCCAGGAGATACCGAAAGCCATCAGGCAGTCCACCACAGCCAGGAAGGAACCAAAGGCCACAAGTAAATGCTGTGGGGGCCATGGCGCCACTTGGCGGTGGTGTTTAGAGTTTCCCTGGGGGAACTAACTGGGATTAACCCATCATCATTCTTGGACCTACGATTTTTTTTTTAATTTTTTTTATTTATTTACAATAGTCATACAGAGAGAGAGAGAGGCAGAGACACAGGCAGAGGGAGAAGCAGGCTCCATGCACCGGGAGCCTGACGTGGGACTCGATCCGGGGTCTCCAGGATCGCGCCCTGGGCCAAAGGCAGGCGCCAAACCGCTGCGCCACCCAGGGATCCCTGGACCTACGATTTATTGAGTGACCACCCTGTGCCCAGCACTTGACATGTATCCTCTTTCAAATTCCTACAACACCTGGCGGCCAGTCATTGTTGAAGAGTCCACAGCACAGCCTGGTGCACTGTGGGTGTTCGACAAATCTTTTTTTGGATTAACAAAGAAATTGAGGCTCTTGGAGTTTATGGGACTCAACAAAATCTTAAGGTTAGTAAGTGGTGGTATCTGATTTCAGACCTGAGTATCCTAGCTGGCCCACTTGGTTCCTCTAGAGCCAAAAAGGGAAGTGATCATAAAGCGATGTTATGTGGACTGGAGAGAGCACAGAGTCCCAGAGTGGACACTATAGAAGGCTCTGGAAGGGAAGGGGCCAGGGGAGTCAGCTCTGTAGTGGCAGGCTCAGGATGAGAATCCAGGACTCCACTGGTGACCCTTCCCGCCCAAAGTGTATGGTCAATTACAACACAAATCATCAACATGAATTTTCAAGCTGCTGAAAATTTGTGGTGGATGGACTAGAGGAGGCACCTGCTTCTCCAGAGCTGAGAGAGCACAGCTCTTTATGCATCTGCAGCAGAAGGGGCTGTGAGCAGAGTCCTAACAGGACTAGGTTAGCAGAAAGGAGAGAGATGCATGGCCTAACCATTTGTCCAGCTGCTGAATACAGCAGAGGGGGCTTGGACCAGGGGCTGGCAAACAGTTTCTATAAAGGGCCAGATGGCCAATGAGGCGGCTTTATGAGTCATATGGTGTCTGCTGGCACTGTTCAGCTCTGCTGTTGTAGCCCACGAGCAGCCTTGGTAAGACGTAACAAACAGGTGTGACTGTTCCGGTAACACCTTAGTCACAAAAGTGGGCATGGGCCACACTTGCCCTCAGCATGATGTTGGCTGGCCCCTGCCTTAGATGACTGTGTCTGAAAATCCAAATATGATTTTAAAAAAAGCAAAGGACTGAGAAAGCAGACAGAAAAGACAGTCTGGACATGGAGAAAACAGCAACTGCCAGTCCTCCTTTACCAGTCTGAACCCACTGCTCCTTTTCTACCAAGTGGAATGGGAATGAGAGTGTGGCTCCTGGACTCTGATATAGTGGGGTCCCCGCTGACGGGGGGATCGATGCTAGATGGATCTTACCACCAAACAAACTTCACTAGTCCTCCAGTCCTCCATCCAGAGACAACCCCAGGGCAGCCTGGGTGGCTCAGCGGTTTAGTGCCGCCTTCGGCCCAGGGTGTGATCCTGGAGACCCGGGATTGAGGCCCACATTGGACTCCCTGCATGGAGCCTGCTTCTCCCTCTGTCTGTGTCTCTGCCTCTCTGTGTGTGTGTGTCTCTCATGAATAAATAAAATCTTAAAAAAAAAAAAAAAAGACAACCCCAGGTGCAGGGGTGGGAAGCAGACCCAAGACTCTACCTCCTCTCGAGGAAATCCTCACATCTTTTCTCCAAGGGCAACACCTGAGTGAAAGCCATGTTCTCGGTTATGTCCATTTTAGGAATGGTGTGATTTCTTGAGATGTTTTCCAGGAGTGGGTAGGCCTCGAGATTAAAGTAGAAGATGGAGTTCTGGATGTCCTTGGTGTCGTCAGATTCAATTTCATCTGGATGGTCTCCTGAGATGAAACAAGAGTGCAAGTTCTGTGGAGTGATGGCCTTCTCTGTGGGCTGGGAGGGTACAGGGGGGCTGCTGTCTGCTTGTAAGGCCTGGTCACTGGGGCTAAACTGTGAGGGGCTCACTTGATCTGGTGCAGCAGGATTCCAGAGAGAAGACCTTGCCTGTTAGCTATGTGCCTAGTGAGGGCTCAGCAGCTGTGTCCTTTTGGCCTGTGGGGAGGGGTCTAAAGAAGGGGGAAGAGATTGGGGGCATCCCTCTGTGCTTTGGGAGGGGACAGAAGGTGTCAGGGAACTAGCAGGCCACAGGTCTGGGCAGCAGCCCCCAGGGTCCCCCTCCTGTACCTCGGAGCAGGAAACACGGATGTTGCAAAGACACGACAAACACAGGCTTCCAGGGGACCGCCAGATGGTAAGTTCTGGGTGGAGCAAAGGCACAGATGATCTGAGGCTTGGCCACATCCATGAGCTGTACAGAGCCATTCCTGCAAAAGATCAGCACCTGGGAAGCAAAGAGATGGTGATGGGGATTTCTTGGTCACCTCCATTTGGAGTAAGAGAAGCAGCTGAACATAAAAACGGGCAATAGAACTGCTTTGCTTTCAGGCACCAAGAGCTGCCCAGGGAGCAGAGGTGTGTGTGTGTGTGTATGTGTGTGTACACATATTTGTGTGTGTACACGTGTGTGTACTTCTCTGGTGACCCCAGCAACAACAGGCCCTCCAGGTGCTGCATCTGATCCTGAGCAGTGTTTCCTCCTTCTGCCCTGGCTTCTCTTTGAGTGCACTAGCAGCCCCCTGCTGAGCAGCTGGCTCTCCTCCTGCCTGTCCTTGGGACCCCTGCTCAATCCAACGGCCCCTCTTGGCCTGAGATCCAAGATAGGTCTCTCTCCTGCCTGGGCCCCTTCCTCCCTGCAGATGAGCATGCTCGGTGTGCCCCAATCTCATCCTCTCCCAGCCACCACACCATTTCCCTTCCCTTGCACTCAAATATGGGGGAGTCTGTCCTTGACCTCTCCACCTCATCTGTCCTGTCACCACCTCCCGAAAACAGCCCACCAAATTCCACAGGCTGTCAGTGACCCCTCTCTCTGCTCTGTGGCATCCAGTGTGGGATGCCAGGATGCTGCATGGCCTCTCTCATCTCCCAGGGCAGCTGCTTGGTGATTCATCTGTCTTTCCAGCTGAACCGTGTGCCCCACCAGGGCAGTGGCTTACTCTTTTATCCCGCGTACCCCAGGGGTAGTGTGGTGCCTAGCACTTGACAGACCTTCGACAGATAATTTTTGAAGGAAAAGTGAACAGATTTACTGAAGAGGAGTGAGGACCATGAGGAACCTACTGTGCCGGGGAAGGCTTGAACCGGGGCCACTGCACAGATGGCCTCCTCTGGATGTTTCACGGGCCTGCAAGAAACGAGACACACATTCATGCTGGAAAAGTCCAGGCTGTGCTAGCCTCTCCTGGGCATACATCCCAGAGACACTCTGGTACACTGTTCTGAGTAGCAGACACTGGGGACAATCTGATCATCCACTGTTAGGAGAGTGCCTTTTGTGGTCCGTTATATGGCAGGCTGCGGTACAGCAGGGAAAATAAACGTAGCTGCATTCGCCAACATGTGCAACTCTTGTGAACAAGGTCGCAGAGCAAGTTCTAGAAGCAACAGCGCTGAGAAACAAGCTGGAGAATACATAGAGCATGATTCCATTTACAAATCCCCCAAATATGCACAGCTAAAGGACATGTTACTTGGAGATACATGCGATTAATTCTTGCAGAAAAGCGAATGATGAATTTTGGAAAATGACGTTGTAGGTTGAAAAAGAAACTGGCCATGGTATTTGGCAGCAACTCCCATCAAAAAGTGGAGTCAAGGGGCAGGCGCTGCCTCTCGGTTTCAGCTCAGGTCATGATCAGGTCCTGGGATCCAGCCCGCATTGGGCTCCCTGCTCAGCAGAGAATCTGCTTGAAAGATTCTCTCCTTCTGCCCCTCCCCCGCTCATGCTCTCTCTCAAAAATAAATAAATCTTTAAAATAAATAAAAAGGTGGAGTCAGTTTTCCTACTGCTTGACTGCAGGTGTGGCCACATAATGTGCTCTGTCCAGGATGACTGGAGCAGAGGCCTGGAAAGCGTTTGTGCATCGTGGCTGCCCCTGCTTGCTGGGAGGACCCTGTAGGCTGCCAGGTGATGGAGGTTGAGACAGCCCACAGGACTAGCCATAAGGAGGAGAACCAAGAGTCCCAGTCACCTACCGTCTATGTGAGCAAGGTCACCTCAGACCATCCAGCCCCCAGCTGAGCTGCCAGATGCTGCTTGAGGCACACGTGAGAGCCTGAGCAAGACTCCTGGAAGGGCGGCCCATCGGAGCCTGGCCCAAGTTGCTGACCTACAGTATTAGGGGCTAACCAATGACTGTTTTCTTTGTTTTCTTTCTTTTTTTTTTTTTTTTAAACCCACCTCAGATTCTAGGCTTTTTTTTTTTTTTTTTAAGATTTTATTTATTTATTCATGAGAGACACAAAGAGAGAGAGGCAGAGACACAGAGGGAGAAGCAGGCTCCATGCAGGGAGCCCGACGTGGGACTTGATCCTGGGCCTCCAGGCGGTGCTTCACCCAGGCGTCCCAACAATGACTGTTTTCTCAAGTCATTAAGTTGTAGAGTGGTTTGTTATACACAGCAATAGATAAGGGGTGCGACCGGGGACAAAGCACACAGAGAGCCTTAACTGAATCAAAGATTATCTATTTCTTACAAGGGAGTTTCTCTCTCTCTCTTGCTCTGTGTCTCTCTCTCTCTCTACACACACACACACACACACACACACACACACACAGATTATATAGAATATATATATAGTGTGTATATATATATGTGTGTGTATATAATGTGTACTCCTAGGTGGTATAGATACACCCTAAATATACACACATACATATTATATACATCATTTGCATACATAAAGTGTTTCACAATTTAAAAAAGAAAGATGCTTGAGGAAACTGATAAAAGGTTATTTTGGTAGACACAACACTGTTCTTGGTCACGTGAGACACAAAGGTGTCATTTACACCATCATACAAGTTTGTGACACAAGTTTTGCATAGATACCCACACATGAAAGAGAGCGGGGATCCTGAGGTTCTCAGGGAGTGTGGTGACTACAGAGCAAGTGGACTCCTGCTGGGGAGGGGGTTGGTTTCTCCTTATTGAATGGCGTCATCTGTCTGGCAGATCATCTACCCTGTCCTGCACTCAAATTACCAACCTCTTAACAAGCTCGCTGATGGTGGGCACTTGGGTCCCCTTGGCTGTCAGAAGATGGAGGGAAGAATCTGTGCACAGCACCACACATTGCATTTGGGATTTCAAGGGACCCTCAGGATACATGTTCTGTCCTTTGTAGACTAAGAAGTATTTTAGGAAGTGAATGCTCTGGCAGAAACATCCCTCGGGAAGAGCAACGACCCCAAGTAGGAAACCTGGAGGAAAAAACGTTACAGGCAGGTCAGATAAGTAGGTAGAGGATGATGCAGCCATGTGCGCAGGGTCTGTGATCAGCAGGTATATGAGGGAGAGCACTCTGAGAGTGAAACCAGAGAACCCCAATGCCCAGTGGGAGAGAAGAGCTCCCCTCCTAAGGATGGAGAGGCACAGGGAATGAAGAGGACCAGCCTCATGGAGGAGGGGTGGTAGGGCAAGGTGGATCTGAGGGGTTAGGTGATGGGGTGGTTCTCGGAGAATGAGAGGGAAGTGTGTGTGTAGCCAAGCAATATCCAGAATGTATCAATACCCAGAAAAATGAAAGCAAGCTATTGGGCAAGTGAATGTGAAATTAGGATCATTCTTCTGCCCATGATGTATCTTCAGCTATTTTAAGAACGCTGTTGGGGGCAGCCTGGGTGGCTCAGGGTTCAGCGCCGCCTTTGGCCCAGGGCCTGATTCTGGAGACCCAGGATCGAGTCCCACGTCGGGCTCCCTGCATGGAGCCTGCTTCTCCCTCTGCCTGTGTCTCTGTCTCTCTCTCTGTGTCTCTCATGAATAAATAAATAAAATCTTAAAAAAAATAAAATAAAAAGAACACTGTGGGTGCTGTAACTCTTGCTCAAGTTCAAGAGGGCCTGTAGCCATGTTTATCTTTTTACCATGTGGGCGGAGTGCCCGCTATTGGAAACAACCATGGAATTCTTCAGATGGAAGTAGCTCAGGTGAGGAAGGCACTTAACTGATCTGACATAAGCCTCCCTGAGGCCACCAATAAACAGGGCACTGTCCCGGACTCTCACCAATGTGCTGCCTTAGGAAGGCCACCAGGGAAGACAACCCCCCTCTACTCTCAAAAATGACAAACCAGGGATTCAGTCATTACTTCTAAAAACATTTGGTAAGAAGGAGACAGTCCCAGGGCACCTGGGTGGCTCAGGCAGTTAAGCATCTGCCTCTTGGTTTCGACTCAGATCATGATCTCAGGGTCCTAGGATCTAGGTCCTGTTGGGCTCTTCATTCAATGGGGAGTCTGCTTCTCCATCTCCTTCTGCCCCTTCATCTACTCTCTCCCTGGGGACCCTGGGACCCCAGGACTCCAGCAAGGTGCCACCCACCCAGAATAGCTGCTGATCTTGCCCTGCCCACGCTGTAGGTCTCTTAGCTTGCACACCAGTGAGGTACCCGCTGACCAGGCTCAGGGTAGAATAGCAGCAAGGAAGACATGTTTATTTTGAGAGCCTGGGGGATAGAGGGAGGAGGGCTGAGACTGCCAGGATCTCACACCCTGAGCTGGAAGACACCTCCTCACCGGAGTGTGATAATGAGGTAATGGACAGACTTCCAGGCCTTGGTCTGGTGCCAGGTATGGAACAAGCACTCAATAAATACCAGAGAATGGAAACCACCAGAGCATATTAAGTTCAGTAAGTGTCTATTGAATGGCTGGATGAAGGGAAAGCAAGACCACCTCCCCAAGCTGACAAAAGAAGGCAGTAACTAACAGAAGGCCCAGCGCCTGCAGACATCCCTGCGCTCCCAGACTCTCATTACCCAGAGACCCATCCAGGGCTTAGGCAGAGGTGGGGGGCTCACCTTCGGCCAGGTCCCACAGTGTGAGCACGCCATCCTCGCAGGCAATCAACAGGTAGGAGCAGGTATAGCTGAGCTGAGAGACAGCAATGGGCGCAGCACAGGGCCACACACCCTCTGGGTCTGCAGGGAGGACACCATGCGCGAGGCTGCCCCCCCAGCCCCTGCACCTACACATCACCTCTACGTGTGCAGCCCAAGACCCACACTAGTCTGCCTGTCTGGGCTCACCATCCCTCTCACCTCTCTGCAATGCTGTCTCCTTCCTTAGGATAAAACAATGGGTCATGCTGCTATTCGACTGCAGCTAACATGGAATGAGTGCTTACTAGGTGCTAAGCACTGTGCTAAGCACTTTACATGCCTCCTTCCGGTGAATTCTCGCAAGGGTCCCCTGAGGGGGGCCCATTATACCCCCATTTCATTGATGAGGAGACTGAGGCAGGATGTAAGCGACCTGCCCAGGGTCCCAGCCAGTCGGTACAGAGGTTGAGGCTGGAAGCTATGCTGCCTGGGAGACAGAGGGATGATAGGAGAGAGTCTTCCTTTGCCTATTTTTAAATTTTACTTTTAAAGGACAATTCTAAAGTTTGACCTACATGTACAGCTCACGGAATTACCACAGGGTGAGTGTGCTCATGCAACTGCTTCCATGAGTCTGTATAAACCAAACAACCACCATATTTCCAAAGTGCCTTTCAATTTCCGAGAGCTTGCCTATGTGAGATCCTCGGGATTCTCCTATTTATGACAAGTGTGAGCAAGGGGCAGGGGTGGTGTCCTGAATTAGCTCTGTTTCAGATGAGAAGACAGGACTGGGGCAGGGGTGACTGGCCTGACAGCACGCAGCTTGCAGGCTGTTGGGCCAGGGCTGGATCTGGCCTCTGATGCCACATCTTTTTTTACCTCGTTGCCACAGGAGCTCTGTGGACCTGACTGGGCTTTGTCCCTATTGACCTGTTCTCTTTAAGAAACGGGACTATTCAGAGACAGAGCCTCCCAGTGACACCACAGCCACTGAGCCACCTGCTTCTGCTGGCATGTCTCTGGTCCTCTGAAGTGACATGTCAGTCACATGCCCTCAACTAAGCTGGAGGAGGACATGTTCTGAGAGCCCCGCTTAGGCAACTCCCATCCCAAAGTACCGACTTTATCCTTCAGAGTTCGGTTAAGCGAATAGAGGAAGAAGTTGTGACTTCCAGTCCAATGTATGCCAAGGACACAGGCTACTCCTGGGAAAGAAAAAGAGGAAAGGGTGTCATGTAAAGAATCTGAGTCCCCTCTGGTTTGTACGGAAAGTGTTGGCTCAAGAGGAATTCAGTTTGAAATCAAAAGTAGCCTGTTCTAATGGGCAGCACCCAACAGAAGGAGTGGGCACCCCTGGAAGGGTGGTTCCTAGGGACAATTCGCCTTCCCGGGTGGGGAGGACAGTCACACTGCCCCTCAGCTGCTCTCACATCTTCTAGATAATTCACATCCTCTTGGCTGTCAGTGCTTTAAATAACATTTTCCACAAAATGAATTCCTGTCCAGAAGCAGCCTGGCAGGATATGTGCTCATACCCTCCTCTGTGGCAAGTCACTCCCTGAAAACAATGCCCAACTCCATTATCAAGGAATCTGGATGCCTAATGTCCAACCAGAAACTGTTAAGCTCCAACTGCGAAGCAGGTGATGCACATTTTGCCTCATTCCCTCCCACCATGCATGGTTTGCTGAGGCATTCCCTTGAGTGGATCATTGCCCAGGATAACCACCTGCTTCGTGCTTATTTACCTGAGGGGCTCTTGACTTCCGCTGGCATTGCAATTATGCTGCTAGGAAGGAGGAAATGGAATGAGGCCATGCTGAGAAAAAAAGGGACACTAGTCAGAGCCATGGCAGACTCCTTGGCCAGGAGAGAAGCTGGCAGAGGCTTGGCACTAAAATCAGAAATGGGTTTATGAAGGGAATGTTAGGATGGACCTTTCCAGGAGCATAGGGCCATAAGGTAAATCACGTTCTATGGGCTGGGTCTGGTGGCTGCAGACTTTGGAATTTGGGGAGGGCAGGGCAGGCGGGGCTGCAGGAGTCACTCCCAGACTGGCAACAGCACCCAGCACTGAGTAGAACTTTCTCTGTAGTGACCAGACTTGGCTGACATGAATAATGGTCGCTTATGCTGGGGACAATCCAATGAGTGGTGTGCTAAGTTTGCTCTAAAAAACCCCAAAAAAACGAAAAAAAAAAAATAAAAGATTTCCTGGTTTATAGAGTTTCTTGTGGTTTAAAGACTCTCACTACAGACACTACCAGCAGTTTAAGAGGTAGCCTGCAAAACTCCCAACTACCCTGCAAGGCAGTGCACCCCTGAACCTCACTGGGTCCTAGTTCAGGTATCAAGCAGCTACGATGAGGGTGCAGCCCTAGGAGTCTGTGTCCTGAAGTGAGAAAACTGGAGGTGCACTTCACAGCAAGATGAGAGGCTCCGCTTCCTGTGTGAAGCAAGAACATCCCTGAGGTCCAGCTTAGCTGTGGGGAGAGCTAGTTCCTAAAACCAGCTCCACTGCACTCTTTAAAGATTTGGGCTCGGTTTTTTACAATCACAGCAGGGGGTTCATGAGCCATACCTGCTGCTAGAAGGTATTTCAGGAATTATACATGAATATATTATGTTTAAAAAGCCTGGATAGGAAATCCCTGGGTGGCTCAGCGGTTTAGCGCCTGCCTTCAGCCCAGGGTGTGATCCTGGAGACCCGAGATTGAGTCCCATGTCAGGCTCCCTGGATGGAGCCTGTTTCTCCCTCTGCCTGTGTCTCTGTCTTTCTCTCTCTCTCTCTCTCTCTCTCTCTCTCTCTCTGTGTGTGTCTTTCATGAATAAATAAATAAAATCTTAAAATAAATAAATAAATAAATAAATAGCCTGGATAGAAATGGAGAAAATCTGAATAGTAGTGACTTTCATTTCTGTCTTTAGGGTATTCTGTGTTGTCTAGATAATCAGGGGTAAAAAATTTAAGAGATGAGGGCTGGGCATAAAATACTAAAATAAACTCTACTCCTTACCTCCATACATGCCTACCCCCTCTTTGAAATCCACAATGTGATCCACCTTTGTTCTAACTGTATTTGAACAATCTCCACACACCGTTTCAAAAGATCTGCTGAAACTCTTGGAAAAATTCCCCAAATCAAGAGGAGCCTTTACACCTCAGACAAGTTCAAGAGCTTGGGTTGATTCCTGCACTGTGCCCCAGGGCTCCCTGGGAGCAGAGTGCTCCTTCCCACTCACCTGAGTGGCTCCTCCTCCCCTTTCTCATCCAGGTACTTCTTGTAGGAGGTGTGGAAGATGGCTGCTTGCTGTTCCCACTGATTTTCCTTGATGAAGTGGTTCTGCCCTGAGCCCAACCCATAGCAGTCCTCTATCTTTGCAAAGACTTCCAGGGGGCTTTTAAATGTGGTCCCTAGGGTGAAAAGATGCCAAAATTAGTCAAACCATGGGACTTCCCTCTGTCTAATTTTCCCCCCTTCCTCCATGCTCCCCAGTTTCCTGCAGAATCCCTTATCCTCAGAAGTCCATGTGGGAGCCCAGGGTTTCTCTCCACCTCTTTCCTACCCACTTGTTCAGGGAGCACAGGCAAAGGACAGCTGCCTCCTCCTCTTGCTCCTCCAGCTCCATCCCCCCATCACTTTCTGTTTCTGAATTACTAGATCCCCAGAGAAAGCCAAGGAAATGTTCTCGAGGGCATTAGAGGCCTCAGACCCCTGTTGGTGTCTCCTCAGGTTGGTAAGGCCCCAAACCTGCCAGCTGGTCACTAATGAGCCACTGCTGAAGGCTCACATAAGCATACAGTCCCACCCCTACCTGTGTTTACATCTATCCAACTAACTTCCTTCAAAAACCTCCTCTCTGCCAATCACTTTTCTTACCACTCTACTCCCTCCTCCCACCCTGAAACCTTTCATTTCCTTCTTTTTCAACTGTTCCTAAATCCACAGTAAACCCGGGTGATCGATTTTCTGGGTTCCTATCCCAGCTTTCAAAACTCTGCTCTCTTTGGAGGGTACCCAGGAGGCCCGATGGTGCCCCAGCCCCCCTTCCCCAGTGGCCACCATTGTTGCTGGTTCCTTGCATACCAGCAACAGAGACCCCTTTTCTTTTTTTTTTTTTAAAGCTTTTTATTTTATTTTATTTTTTAATTATTTATTTATGATAGTCATACAGAGAGAGAGAGGCAGAGACCAGGCAGAGACACAGGCAGAGGGAGAAGCAGGCCCCATGCACCGGGAGCCCAACGTGGGACTCGATCCCAGGTCTCCAGGATCGCGCCCTGGGCCAAAGGCAGGCGCCAAACCACTGTGCCACCCGGGGATCCCAGAGACCCCTTTTCTTTAAACAAATGGTAGCTAGCATATAAGATACTAGTAGTTTCCCAAGTGTGGTCCCAGATCAGCAGGGATCTGACAGGCTCTATGGGAACTTGTTAGAAATGCAGATTCTCGGGCTCAACCCTAGGCTGAAACAGAAACTCTGTAGGTGGGGCCCAGCAAATTGGGTTCTAACAAGTTCTCCAGGCGAGTCTGATCCAGCTAAAGTTTGAGAATTGCTCTTATACACTAGCACCCTTGCATTTTTTCACTCATAATAGCTTTGAGATCTCTTTATATCAGTACCATAGACCTTCCTCATTGTTGCTTATTTTCATTCATTAAACCTTTGTCTTCTTGGGAAATAGAATACATCCAGCAAAGAGCATAAAAATATATATCTTAATAAATTACCATAAGGCAAACATCTGTCTCTACTCAGGTCCAAGGACAGGACATTGCCTGTTCCCTAGAAGCTTTGCAAGGGCCCGTCTCCAGTCACAGCCTTCTGGGAAGGGCAGCAACCGTTCCCTTAGCTTTTATGTAAGCACTGCATTACTTTTATTTTATTTTTGCTGTCTAAATGTGCATCTAAACATGAGAGTTTTGTTTTGCCTGATTTTGAACTATATACACAAATGGAATTATATATAGTGTTAACTCTATGTCTGCCCTCTTTGGCTTAATACTGTTTGTGAGCCACTTTGTTGTGATAGCTGTAGTTTGTTCCTTTTTATTGATAGTATTCCACCGAGTGAAGACATTATAGTTGATCTATAGTTTGTTGTTGATGGACATTTTGGTTATTCCATGTTTGGGGCTATTGAATATCACGTCACTGTTACGATTCTTGTACATGACTCCTGGTACGCATTTACTTTTATTTATTTTTTTATTTTTTTATTTTTTTTTAATTTAAAAAAAATTTTTTTTGAATTTATTTATTTATGATAGTCACAGAGAGGAGAGAGAGAGAGAGGGGCAGAGACACAGGCAGAGGGAGAAGCAGGCTCCATGCACCGGGAGCCTGATATGGGATTCGATCCCGGGTCTCCAGGATCGCGCCCTGGGCCAAAGGCAGGCGCCAAACCGCTGCGCCACCCAGGGATCCCCGCATTTACTTTTAAACCTATCAGATGTATACCTAGAAGGAGAGGGGCCACTTCACCCTGGTTTGCTTTGCACTGAAAGCCCCACATCCCTGGAAACCCTCAGTCCCAGGCAAACTAGTATAGTTGGTCACACTGCCTAGGAGTGTAAATGTATAAATGCTGGCTCTCAGGGTGTAAATTATCATCAACATTACTAGATCATTCCAAAGTGATTGTTATCAATTTTCATTCCTAACTACAGTGTATGAGAAGTCTAGTTATGGTTATTCCATATCCTTACCAACTTGGTACAGTGTCTTTTCATTGTTGCCATCCTGGTGGGTATAGAGTGGTAAACTCATTATGGTCTTAATCTGCATTTCCCTGATAAACTAATGATGTTGAGTATATATACTCATATGTTTATTGGCCATTTGAATAATTTCTTGCTGTTTTATACTAGATTATCTCTTTTCCTTAATAAGTTGTGGGAATTCTTTATATACTCTTGATATGAAATTCACAAGTTTTATGTGTTTTGCAAATGTCTTCTCTATGTGGCTTGCTCTTTCATGCTTTTAATGATGTCTTAGGGTGACTCGAAGTCCTTAATTTTAGTAGCCAAATTTATCAAATTTTTCTTTTCTTTTTATTTAAAAAAAATTTTTTTTATTTATTCATGAGACACACAGAGGCAGAGACACAGGCAGAGGGAGAAGCAGGCTCTCTGCAGGGAGCCCGACGTGGGACTCGATCCCGGGACCCCGGGGTCACGCCCTGGGCCGAAGGCAGCACTAAACCACTGAGCCACCAGGGTGCCCCAAATTTTTCTTTTATTATAAGTGCTTTTTGTATTTGTTTTGTGTGTCTTGTTTACAAAGTCTTTCCCTACCCAGAAATCATAAAGATATTGTTTTATACCTTTTCTAAAAGCATTATTGTTTTCTCTTATTTACTTCTATGGTTCATCTAGAATTAATTTTTGTGGATGGTGTGAGGCAGGAGTCAAGTCTCACTTTTGTTTCCATATGGACAACCAGTACCATTTATTGAAATGACCATCCTTTCTCCACTGCTCTGGAGTGCCACCCCTCAGGTATCCAGTGGCCATTATGCCTGGCTCTATTCTGGCCTCTGATATTTCATTCATTGATTTTTCTATCTATATTTCTATATCTTATATATATTGCAATCTACTATGCACTCCTTTGTTTTTCTATCTGTCTTAATCACCGTAGCTTTACAATAAATGTTGATGGAGCATGTTGTATCATCATGTTCATTTATGAGAGTGAATTGGATATTCTTGGCCTTTTGAATTTCCTTCTTTGTTTTTTATTTTCTTTTTATTTTTAAGGATTTTATTTAGTTATTCATGAGAGACACACACAGAGAGAGAGGCAGAGATACAGGCAGAGGGGAAAGCAGGCTCCATGCAAGGAGCCCGATGTAGGACTCAATCCTGGGACTCCAGGATCACGCCCTGGGCTTAAGGCAGGCACTAAACTGCTAAGCCACCCAGGGATCCCTTCCTTCGTTTTTTATGGTTGCAAAGTATTCCTTTGGAGAGGTGTATGAGATTTTGCTTCTGAAAATACTGCAGCAGTGAACATTCTTATAGATATATCTTTGATGCCATTTGCAGGTATTGAAAGGATATACTCTGTCCTCTGCCTACAATTGACTTCTCTTTTCCTCATGACATACTCCCACTTATCCTTCAAAACCTTCCCAAGTGCCCCTTCCTTTGATAAAGCCTTTGCCTGCTCTGTGGACAGAGTTAGTCACTCTTTTTTCTATGTTTCCATGGTTCCAGGTGTTCCCCATTGCTGCACTTATCATATCCTATAATGCCGGATTCCTCTTCTTCTCCCTTGGTGGAACAGCAGCTCTTAGGGCACAAGATGATGTGTCTTACTCACCTGTGTGCTTACTGCATTACTGGCACTCAGCAAACACTGATGAATGAACTAACACAGGAATATCAAAATGAATGAACTCCAGCTAGATGTGTCTTGCCTGATTTCCCAATTCTGTTAGCTGTATTCTTGTAACATTTATATGTTTTGTCTTTTGATCCCAGAGCTTATGACTTTTAAAAATTTTTCCTCTTCAGAACTATACTTATAATTTACATATTGCCCCTAATAAATAGAAAAGACGGGACATGTGGAGAAAGACAAAGAAAGAAAAAAACAGAAATTAAAGGCAGAAGAGAAGAAAGTGTTAGTTGAATTTTACTAACCTGTAACTGGTTTGGGTGGTTTGATCTTCATTATGTGAACTGGATGACTCAACTTAATGTCTCCTCTAAAACAAATGTTTGTATCCTACGATAAGGAAAAGGCACAGCTAATAAGCCAAACAAAGACGATATAACAGAATCATTAAAAAAACATCCCAAAAGAAGACAGAAAAGAGGGAAAAGAAAAAAAAAAACTGGTGGGACAAAAGACAGTAATTAGCAAAGTGACAGATTTAAATCCAAACACATCATCAATCATATTAAATATAAGTGGTCTAACTGCCCCAATTAAAAGGTAGAGATTGTCAGATTATATAAAAAGGTAAGACCCAACTATTTGTTGTCAAAAAGAAACTTATTTTAAATACAAAAACACCAAAATATTAGAAGTATAGAAAAAGATACATCTTGTAAAAGTAATATAAAGAAACCTGGGGTGGTTATATTAATAACTGACATAACAGATTTCATAGCAAAGAATATTACCAGGGATCAAAGATTCACCGAATAATGATAAAATGGTCAATTCATTAAGGAGACATAACATTCCAAATGTTTATGCACATAACAGTGCTTCAAAATACAAGAAGCAAAGACTCAGAGAAGTGAAAGCAGAAATAGATAAATCTGTAATCTTAGAGATTTGAACACTCTTCTCCCAATAACTGATAGAATAGACAGAAAATCAGTAAGGATATAGTACAGATACAGAAGGAAAAGCAGTAAATATGTAGGAGATTTAAATAACTTGACCAACAATAGATAAATACACATTCTTTTCAAGTGCACTTAGAACACTTATCAAGATAAGCCATATTCTGGGCACAAAACAAATCTTAATAAATTTAAAAGGCTTCAAATTATATGAAGTATGTTCTCTAATCACAATGGAATTAAATTAGAAACCACAAAAAGAAAGATATCTGGAACATCTCCAGTATTTAGATCCTACAAATGTTGCCAAGTTAAAATTGGTGAGTTGGATCTACAAACAGTTTCTTTAAAAAATAAAAAGGAGGCACACATAAATAACATTAAAAACAAGAAAAAGGAATAACTTAAAAGATAGATTTTCACTTTTATACTATAGGAGAAATTTATTTACATGTATCTATAGTTCTATATCTATACTGATAAATTATATGAATTGTAACTGAAATAGCCTCAAAATTTTTTACAATAGACTAATAATCATAGAAGAAATTGAAAAGATAATATAGGATTTACGTAGACCTAGAGGGTTAAAAAAAGACATCCAACTTTCTTTACAAAGCTTGCATAATACTCATACCAAAGGCTGATAAGAAAACCACAAGAAAAAGGAAATAAAACCACTACAGGCCAATCTCATATTTGAACATAGATACTATCCATGAACACAAAGCTTTCGGTTTGCTTTGCTAATATCTTGTTTAGGACTTTAATGTTAGCAAAGCAAACTGACATTATAATTAAATGAATTATTACCAAGTATGGATTACCTAAGAATGGAAGGACGAATGTTTTAACTTTAGAAAATGTTTTCACTGCCTACCCACCCTTGGTTCCTTCCGATTTTCTGAAACTTGATATCCTTCCAATTTCTTTGCTGCAACTAAGGCCCTGATGAATACTGATAAAACCACAGACCAGCAATAACTAGCTGGAAAATACAGACGTTGGTGTGAACATTTAACATGTAACACCTTTCCTTCCTGAAATCCCATTAAAATGACAGAAAGCTGCTTTTTAAAAAAGGAATAAACTTATAAGGAACAAGAGAATGAAAAGGCAACAAAAGCAAGAACATTTTGAGGTTGGAAAGCAAGTGGCTAAATGATTTAGCCGACCCAAGAAAGTCAGATCTGAGCCAGTAGGGGAGAAAGCCTAGCAGCCATCTGATTTATACCACAAATGCCCTATGACTCAAGAAAATGCCAGCACTGGGTATCTCTGGAGTGGAAGCACCAGTGAGGCAGCAACAGGACTGACTGGAAATCTTTTTAAGAAGCATTTAAACTCTGGGGTGCCTGAGTGGCTCAGTGGTTGAGCATCTGCCTTTGGCTCAGGGCATGTTCCTGGGGTCCTTAAATCGAGTCCCACATTAGGCTCCCAGCAGAGTCTGCTTCTCCCTCTGCCTATGTCTCTGCCTCTCCCTCTGTGTCTCTCATGAATGAATAAATAAAATCTTTTTTTAAAAAAGCATTTAAACTCAGACTCTCAAGCTCCAAGCAGCCAACATAATGAAGTTAAAGTTTACATACTGAATGTTGAAGTTACCCCTGACCCCCAAGGTGTCTTCCCCACAAGCCTCTGCAACTCAGGTGAGAGCTGTGATTAGAGCTGAGCACTGAGCACCTACTTAGACGCCCCGCCCATATCCTTCCTGAGGAGCTACACCTAGCCTGTCAGCATCATGTGCCACGTGCCAGAGCTTTACTGTGTCAGTGAGCATCTGTGCTTCATGTTGATTTATTTTGTATATACATTAGCAAGATGTGTTCTAATGTATCAGAAAAGCCTCAGAGAGGTTGTATTTTGGGTCTAGGAACCTAAAAAATTTTCCATATAAATTAATGGTAATTGCTTTTTATACCATTTTGACTTAGGAAAGGTTTTATTGGAACAGTCTCCTTTTGGATAGCAGGAGAAACTTGTATTCTCCAAGACACTGACATGCGTGTTTTCCAACACAAAAGCCCAGTTGGGGCACTCTTTAGCAAAACCACAATCAACAAGTCCCACCTGTGCCCACAGGCCTGGCATCCTGTTTGTTTCCCCATGACCCCTATTCTAATTTATGGCAGACATCCAAGTACCACCAGACAAGTGAAGAGAGCATCTCTTTGGAAAGACAGAGACCAAAACAATTAGAAAGAAAAAAGCAACTTGGGGGAAAATAGGCCATATATGGAGAAGAAATATCAGTAATTATTATAAATGTTTTTAGGGAAGGCATAGTATTTATCAAGTAAACAAACAATCAGAGAAAAAAGAAGGGCCCTTGTAAATGAAAAGATGATAGCAAAAATGAAACACTCAGTGAGAGGGTAGAGCCTGAGCCACCGAGCTTTCTCAAATGTAGAACAACAAAAATACAGAAAATAGAACAGAAAATAAACAGGGTCATTGACGAGATTAGAACCCTGGTAGTTTCGCTCCAAAGTTCATTAAGGTCTTGGTGTAGGCAGATGAATATTTTAATGGAACAGGATAAAGAGCATAGAAGTATATATATATATATATATATATATATATATAGGAATGATAAAAGATCACATTTCAAAACAAACGGGAAAGGATGAATTACTCAAAGATATTTGTGTGATGGTTGGCTATTTGAAAAAAAAAAGATAAAAGTTTGACCCCTTCCTCACTTCATTCACAAAAGACACTCACTTCCCTATGAATTAGAGTGAAATGTTAGGAGCAAAACTCTTGAAATTATTAGAAGAAACCACAGGAGAAGTTACTTATAACCTTGAGGTTGGGAAAGCCTTCTTCAGGCTCCAATAAATATTTAAAAGAGAGAGAGAGAGAGAGAGAGACTTCTGACTATATCCAAACCAAAATCTTCTTTTTTCTCTCTCTCTCTTTCTTTTCAGAGAGAGAATGAGAGAGCACATGCAAACATGTATGCAGCAGCTGGAAGGGACAGGAGGGAAGAGACAGAATCCAAAGCAGTTTCCACGTTCAGCACAGAGCCCCAGGTGGGGCTTGATCTCATGACCCTAAGATCATGACCTGAGCTGAAATCAAGAGTTGAACACCCCACTGACTGAGCCACCCAGGCATTGCAAACCTAAAACTTCTTTACAACAGAAAAGCACATAAACAGAGGAAAAAGGGAAACAACCAGTTGGAAGCAAATATATAACAAGCAAAAGATATAGGCAGGCATTTCAAAGAAAATCTCGTGGCCAATAGAAGATATAGAGATCAGTAAAAATTACATGGGATGCTATTTTGTTCCATCAGTTTGGGAAAAAAAGGATAATATCAAGGTCAGGGAGGCTGTGGAGAAATATTAATTAAATGTAAATTGTCATGCTACTTTGGCGGGGGCAATTTAACAGTTATCTATATTAACACTAAAAATGCATGCACCTAAATGCTCAGAAGCACTCAGATATACTAAGAATTTACAAAAATTTTCACTGTGTTATAAAAGCCACAAACTGGGAATATCCTCAGTATCATCAGTAGACTCACACTCAAAAAAACTGTGGTATGTGCATAACATGGAACAGAATTCAAGAGGTCAAAAGAACAGCAAGGTAGGCTTATCTGACACTGAAAAATGTTGCCAATAGGTTAATGAGTAAGAAAAACACAAGTTTGTAAGAAAATATAAATAGTATAGGAAATTCTCATAAAACAAAATAGAAAAAAATTCCCAAAGAAAAAACATTTCCATAAAACAAAACTATATTTTTCAAAATAAACATATCAGAATTTAAATGTACACTGAAGATTGAGAAAACATACATCGAGCTAATAATGGTGAGGACCTGTGGAGATAGCTGCTCTCTCTGAATTATGTGGCTTTTCCCAGAGTGATATAGTGATATGTTCACATATTGTTTGTATAATTTAAAATATAACTTCATTTATTTATTTATTTATTTATTTATTTATTTATCATTCATTCATTCATTCATTCATGAGAGATACAGAGAGAGGCAGAAACATAGGCAGAGGGAGAAACAGACTCCCTGCAAGAAGCCTGATGAGGGACTCCATCCCAGGATCCCAGGATCATGACCTGAACCAAAGGCAGACACTCAAACATTGAGCCGCCCAGGCACCCCAAAATATAACGTAATTTAAAAGGAGGAAAAAGAGAGGGCTCTAGAGAGACTCTAATTTGGAGGTCACCACTACGCTACTGGTAAGCCTGAGTCCTCCCAAAGCTGAGCTTCTCAAAAGCCTGGTGTGCTCTACACCTCAAAGGGAGAGCTAGGAAGCTCCAGAGAAGCTCTCCGTTCTCTAAGGTATCCCAATATAAAGATGAAATCCCTCAAGACACTTGGCTTGGCAGATTGGGCTATTACTTTGGAAGGGTGACCTGGGTTTCATAGGGCCTGAGTATGTATAATTTGGGGGCCACTGTAAAAAAGGGAACAAAAAAGTTTGAACACAAAATGCCCATGACCATCCTAATACCATCCGATATGGGGTAAGTTATGACAGGAGAAGTTTGAGTGAAAAGAGACAATGGTCTTAAGCAACTGTGGTTAACATGTTACTTTTGCTAATCTTACAAAACCATGTGGCCCTGTGAAAACATGGCGAGGGCCCCTCACGGGCGGACTTGGAAGAGGCCCTATAAGTGACAGGTCCTGAAATTTGACCTCACTTATCTTCATGGAAACCCATCTCTGGACAAACGACTCAATTATCCTCAAGGATAGGGGGCCATCTTCTGTGGATGTGGGGCTCGAGATTAAGTCACAGAGAGTCTGAAAATAGTGCCCTGGTGGAACATTTTACTAGTGTACCTGACATTTAAAGTAAATTTCAAGTCAAAATAAAAAACTGTTGCATGCAACTTAAATCTCTTTAAAGAATTTCTTTAAAGGTCCTTACCATTTCTAAAGTCTCTGAAGTCACGGGTTCAAGAGTGCTCTGAGGAGAAAAGTGAGAAATTAATTCACAATAGGGTTGATGTATGTTCCCCCTCCCCTTTCATCTCTTTCTCCCCGTTACTGTTGTCAGGAATCAACTCATCCTGGAGACATGGAGGACTGATATTTGTGTAATCCTCTGGCCTGCAGGATTTTAACATATGATCCCTACTGTCCAGAATCTTAAAATGTAGGAGGGGAAACTGGAAATAGTGATAGGAAGAAATATTAATGAACAGAGGTAAGATCAGTTAGGAGCTCATTCCAGAAAAATCTAAGCTGAAGCAAATATTTCTGATTGGCAAAATATATTGGCAATGTTGACAATTTTATTTAACCAACTCTAAATGTAATTCATAGCTACCAGGACTACCCCTGTAACTGGTGTTAATTGACTACTTCTCAGTGTATGGACACTGAGTGAATTATGGTGAGAAACATCCATTCCAAGGTGGTTTTCCCAGTTGGATAATGAATTAAGCCCTCAAAAAATGTATCTGTTGGGTACTGAGTATGATACCATGGGGTTGGTTAATAAGAAGAAGGTATGTTCTTAACAATCTAGAAATATCTAGTTAATAAAAAAAAGTTCATGCACAAAAGGATAACTAAAATCAAGGTAGTATATGGGAAGTACCCAAAAAGAGGTATAAGAAATAAATTCCAGGGATGCCTGGGTGGCTCAGTGGTTGAGTGCCTGCCTTTGGCTCGGGTCGTGATCCCAGTTCGGGGATCGAGTCCCACATCAGGCTCCCTGTGAGGAGCCTGCTTCTCCCTCTGCCTATATCTCTGCCTCTGTGTGTGTGTGTGTGTGTGTGTGTGTGTGTGTGTGTCTTTCATGAATAAATAAATAAAATCTTAAAAAAAGAAAGAAATTCCATAAGAGTTTAGAGGAGGAAGATCTCTGGGCTGGTGACTCTTCCAGTAATCAGGACTACACTTTGATTTGAAGACATAGACTGGGGAGAAAAGGCATTTGTTTAAAGCCACTCAATGAGCTCAGTAGTGAATGTGAGTTTCATAGCTCTTTAGCACCTGATACAGTGTGTTTTAAGAGCATACTCAATAATTCTTGGCTAAAAAAGTAAGTGCACATTGGATAGATAAGCAAATTAAGTTTCTTTTTTTTAAAAGATTTTATTTATTCATTCATGAGGGACACAGAGAGAGAGAGAGAGAGAGAAGAGAGAGAGAGAGAGAGAGAGAGAGAGAGAGAGGCAGAGACACAGGCAGAGGGAGAAGCAGCCTCCATACTGGGAGCCTGACGTGGGACTCAATCCCGGGTCTCCAGGAACTCACCCTGGGCTGAAGGCGGCGCTAAACCGCTGAGCCACGCAGGCTGCCCAGCAAATTAAGTTTCAAAATAATATTTACCAAGGAACTATTCTAAAGACACAGTTCAAGGCCCAGGGATCACATATAACTAAACTGAAACAGCAGTGCCTGGCTGCTCAGTTCGTGGAATATGCAACCCTTGATCTTGGGAGTCATGAATTTGAGCCTTATGTTGGCCATAGAGATTGCTTTAAAAAATTAAAAATAAATTTAAAAAAAAACCGGAAATGGTAGAGCTCCTACTTTCCTAAGAATGATATGAAGAATATATGTGTTTCTATATATTGAGAACTGGTTTATACCATAATCTGGGAAATTCAGTGGAATGTGAGGCATGAGGGGATTATTTCAGTACAGATGGGGGAAAACATTACCAGTGAGGCAGGCGTCAGGATGAAAGACCCTCCTCCCAGAGAAATGCCTGGGAGTGGTCTTGGTGCAGAGGCAACCCTCAGACAAGAAAGAGAGTGAGACTCCCACTACTGAGGACACCTCTACTTTTTAATATCTTATTTTAACCAAAGCAAATTGATTTTAGAGTCATGGGCCAGTATGCCTGCTGTCCTCTCTCATAGCCTCCATAAGGCCTCGTTCATGTTGACACTGCAGGGAGGATTTAGGCTAGATGTGGGTCAAGGGTAGGGAGAAACAGATCAGTGGAAAAGAGGGATGTTTCCTACCAGTTGTGGCTGTCTGCCTTTTTTCTTTGGATTTATAGCAAGTTGGGGGTGCTCCACTTCCTTGAGCCAAGACTCCTTGGGCAATTTATACACATCCAGCCAAACATCTCCGGCTCCTGCATTGGGAAACCAGGGAGCCATTAAGCAACAGCAAGCAGGCAACAAGTGTCCCATGAGAAATGGCCTGTCTTCTCAGAACCCCTGGCGCAGGGACCAGCAGGCACGATTGGAGCAGTGACTTGGGCAAAGGGATGTTGTCCTGCTATGGGTCTCTTCGGGTCCTCACTCATGAACAGCTATACAGCCTGTCCCTTTCGGGCCACGACCATCTCAAGGCAACAGGCCTCCTAACTGACATTACAGCTTTTGACCATGCTGTCTTCTTGCCCCAGTCCCCATGCTTTCTAGGTTCCACATAGGAGATTCCACTGACATTTTGTTGTATAACTTTTCTTGTCTGGGGAAGAAGGTGGTATTACACAGAATCCATAACTGAGAGGGGTATGGCTGAGGACTAGAATTGGGAAAGATCCCTCAAGAGCATTCTTCTGATATTTGAGGAAATGACAACCGATGGAAGTGGTTGTGGGGCTTTAATTTGTCACAGAAACACACACAGCTTCTATACCGAATACCTGTCAACCTGGGAGGGGTCACTTTCCCTTAGTATGGGGGTTCTGGCTAAGTGTTTCCTTGAAAAAGTCATCATCTGGACACCTAGATTTCAGGCTTCTGGCCTCCAGTCCTGGGAAAGAATAAATATCTTTTGTTTTAAGCCACCCAGTTTGCAGTGCTTTGTTGGGGCAGCCCTAGGAACCACCACAGAGATAAAAGCTTCCTTTGATGCATAAAGCATAATAAAGTGTATGCTTTCTTCAAGCCCTTAACATTTGAGGGGCCTGGGGGATCCCTGGGTGGCTTAGCGGTTTGGTGCCTGCCTTTGGCCCGGGGCACGATCCTGGAGTCCTGGGATCGACTCCCGCGTTGGGCTCCCAGCGTGGAGCCTGCTTCTCCCTCTGCCTGTGTCTCTGCTTCTCTCTCTCTATGTCTATCATGAATAAATAAATAAAATCTAAAAAAAAAAATTTGAGGGGCCTGGGGTAAGAATATAGAGGCCCATATACCATGTGTCTAAATATTTTAAAAGTTAAAAATCAAGCAAACAGTCACTTGAATAAAATATGTTCTATCACCACAGTAATAATTACAGCACATAAGATCCAAGGATGAATGCTAGAATTGGTAGGCTATCCTTTAAGGGGAAACAGGATATCTGCAGGCTCAAAGTATCTCCCCACAAATGTTTATCCACTACTGTGGTGGTTTCAGCATATGCCTCCAAATTCTTTGATTCTCCTACCTCCAGGAAGAGATGCTAAAATCCTCTGCCCTTGAATGGACATACTGACTTGTTTCTAACAGAGTATGGGGAGGGAAAAGCAGTACCTTAACTGTGGAGGAACTTGGCAAATGCCAGTTAATTAGGTGATGTTGCTAGCACATACCCCCTGATATATAATGACAAGAGCACTTCACCCCTTTGGCATCTCCCCCAAATCCTTAACTCTGGTTGAATCATGAGAAGCATATCAGGCAAATTAAAATTGGGGGACATTGTACAAAATATCTGACTGGTATTCTTCAAAAGTGTCAAGGTCATGAAAAACACAGAAAGACTGAGAAATTGTCACAGATTGGGGTGTCTGAGTGGCTCAGTTAGTTGAGCAGCTGCCTTCAGTTTAAGTCATAATCTCAGAGTTCTGGGATGGAGCCCCACATTAGGCTCCCTGCTCAGTGTCCCCACTTCTCCCTCTCCCTCTGCTGCTTCCCTGCTTGTGCTCTCTCTAACAAATAAATAAGATCTTAAAAAAAAATTGTCACAGATTGGAGTAGGCTAAGAAGATACGATAACTAAATATAATATGATATCCTGGAATGAGCCTTGGAATAGAAATATTAGTGGAAAATGGGCAAAACTTGAAAAAAAAAAACCACCTTAACAGTATTATACCTGTGTCATTGCTTAATTTTGACAAATGTACAGTGATCATGTTGTTTGTTGGTATTGGAAAATCTGGGTGAAGAGTTCCAGGGGAACTCTGTACCCATCTTTACAATTCTTCTGTAAATTATTTCGAATTAAAGGGTTTGAAAAAAGGGGGTTATCTGAAAGCTCTATCTGAACTTTCTTATCACCCTGCGGGTAATCTTGCCTTGTAGGAGGAAGGCTGCAAAGTCCCCTCCTCGACAGATCTCCATCTTTATACAGGTGGTTTGCTTGCTGGCATCATCCTGAAAAGAAGAGAGGGGCTGATGGAGTAAGCTCAGCCTGATGATAGAGAAGAATGTGTTTCAGGGTCTTTTGTGGTTCACAAAATCCTCTTAAACTAGAGACATGAAAAGTTGCCTCAAACTGCTTCATACTCCCCATTTTTGTACAGCAGTTGGACAAGATCATATATAAAGAAGTGGAACTTTAGTGGAACTAAAGATTTTGAACTTACTTCCTGGTTTCTTAAGTACTCCTGATGATTGTGGTGACTGCATATTATCTGTTCTCCTGGTCATATCTGCAAACTACCTACGTTAGAACTCAATGTATACTCAAAATGAGTTGAAGTAAGTTCTATGTGACACTGAAAACTCTGGCCAGGTGCTTGAAGAAAGGCTCTATCTGGACCACAGCAGTGCCTTCATCTGTTCAGGCTGTTACAACAAAATACCATAGACTGCATGGCTCATAAACAATAAACCTTTATCGCTCACAATCCTGGAGGCAGGAAAGCCAATTTCCAAAGACTTCAAGAATCTGGCAGATTCAGTGTCTAGTGAGTCCCAAGCAGCCCATTTGCTGCTTCCTAGACTTCCTGCCTGCCACCTTCTCAATATGCCCTCATGTGGTGGAGGGGTTGAGGGAGTTCTCTTGGGCCTCATATAAGGGCACTAATCCCATTTATGAAGGTTCTGTCTTCATGACCCAATAAACACCTCCCAAAGACCCCACCTCCTAATACTATCACACTGGGAATTAGGATTTCAACCTGAATTTTGTGGGGACACAAATATTCAGTCCATAGCAAGTAGAGACTGACTGTAACCCTAGTATGAAATCTGCTCAAATTTCAGGGCAGGTGAGAGACTCGATACTTATGGTTGTCTGTGGCTTGCTTTTACACTTTCTTAATTGTACCTTTATAATAATGAAGATAATTGTTCTCATTAAGACCTTTATTAATAGGTGCTTGCATTTTGTTGAGCTTTTTTGAAAAAAGTCAAGTTGCAATGTTTTATTACAAATTTAAAATGAGGTACTTAAAAACCTCAACTTGGCAAGGGGTTCCTGGGTGGCTCAGTTGGTTGAGTGTCCAACTCTTGATTTTGGCTCAGGTCATGAGATCAAGCCCTGTGTCCAGCTCCACACTGGGCATGGAGCCTGCTTGGGATTCTCTCCCTCTCCCTTTGCCTCTCTCCTACCACCCCTGGCTCACTTCCTCTTTTTCCAAAAAATAAAAATAAACTTGGCTAGATACAAAACACTTTAAAAACCTTTAAAGGTGTATTTTAAAAACCCAGACTTTTTAAAAAACCATTTGGTATTACCAAAGAGATATCCTTAAGAAAAAATAAAAACCAGATGCTGCATAGATAATGCCACTAGTTCTAGTTGTGTGGTCAACATAGAAAAACAAGCACTTAAGGTCTTCAGCTCTACTCTTTCATTTGCCTCTTACTGCTGAAATGTCATAATTTCACCCATCTTCCCATGTCCACCCCCTACCTTGCCCCTCTGGCAACCACCAATTTGTTCTCTGTATTTAAGAATCTATTTGTCTCTTTTTTTCCTCTGCCCATTTGTTTTATTTCTTAAATTCCACATAAAAGTAAAATCACGGGATCCCTGGGTGGCGCAGCGGTTTGGCGCCTGCCTTTGGCCCAGGGCGCGATCCTGGAGACCCGGGATCGAATCCCACGTCGGGCTCCCGGTGCATGGAGCCTGCTTCTCCCTCTGCCTGTGTCTCTGCCTCTCTCTCTCTGTATGTGACTATCATAAATAAAAAAATTAAAAAAAAAAGTAAAATCATGGTATTTGTCTTTATCTATTTCATCTAGAATTATACCCTCTAGGTCCATCCATGTTGCAAATGGCAAGATCTCATTCTCTTTTATGGCTAATATTCATTGTGACTGTATATACCACATCTTCTGTATCCATTTTATCAGTGGACACTTGGGTGCTTCCATAATTTGGCTATTGTAAGCAATGCTGCAGTAAACACAGAGGTGCACATATCCTTTCAAATTAGTTTTTCATTTTCTTTGGGTAAATTCCCATTAGTACAATTATTGGATCATGTGGTATTTCTATTTTTAATTTTTTGAACAATTTCCAGACTATTTTTCACAATGACTGCACCGATTTACATTCCCACCAAGGGTTCCTTTTCTCTACACCTTCACCAACTCTTGTTATTTCTTGTCTTTTTCATTCTAGTCATTCTGACAGGTGTGAGGTGATATCCCACTGTGGTTTTGATTTGCATTTCCCCGATGATGAGTGATGCTGAGCATCTCTTCATGTGTCTGTTGGCCATCTGCATGTCTTCTTCTCTGTGTCTTCTGCCCATTTTTAAATTGGATTGTTTAGGTTTTGGGTGTTGAGTTGTAGAAGTTCTTGCCCTTTATCTGATGTGTCATTTGCAAACATCTCCCATTTGGTAGGTTGCTTTGTCATTTTGGGGATGGTTTCCTTCACTGTGCAAATACATTTTGGTGTAGTCCGGAGAGTTTTTTGTGATCACTCCTAGTTGGCGGACTGAAGTGCATGATGGTACAGGTGATGAGCCTGCATTTACTCGGCTCTGTCCTATTTAGCCTCAGAAGCCACAAAGTCTCACTTGGATTCTCAGCTACTTTTGTCCCTTTGCCATCTCATGGCTTAGGTGGTCCAGGCATTTGCATCAGTAATAGAAGTGGTGGGGTTGAGATGGCTGCTGACCTTGGGTCTCATCTGCTTGATTTTCCTTCTCCTCTTTATTGCTGTCCTCTCTAGGCTATCTGTTGAGACGCGCCACTCCGATACAGATTCTCTCACTGGTCTATATGCTTCTCTGCCCTGCTTGACAACCCCCTCCATCCCCTCTGCGCAGGAAGTTGGCATGGTGTGATGAGCTCCTTCAGGGTGTCTGCCCAATATGCAGGTGGAGAGTGTTGCTGGCACCAGGGCCAATGCTGTGGGGCCTGACCTTCAGGGGCACTCTGACCCCTTATTCCTTTTACTGCTCCCACAAGTCTGGAATTCTGCTGGTAATTGCATGGAGGCCTAGCCCTAGACATGGCAGCGTTCACAGTGGTTCTGTTTGGCTGCAGATTTACTGCCTTGCACTGAACTCCACCAGGGCCTTTAATGTCTGCTACTTCTGCACACTTTCTCCTCCAACAACGTCCCTTCCTGGGGTTACTCTTTATGGCAGTCTGCTGTCCAAATACATCTTCCTTGGTGTCCTTGCGGCTGATGAAACCATGTCTGTTCTGCACATAGAACCATCTGACTGTTCGCTAAACCTCTGTTGCCATGACCTTCTTGTCCCACCAACAGGTGCCACTGCTCCTTGCAAGGCGGCAAGTGGTGTGGGCAGGGGCATTGTGGAGGTCCCTGCTGGGTCTCCACCTCACTGCTCAGGACTGTGGTCACTCTAATGGGGGCCAACTGTGATAGCTGTGGCTCCTCCTGGGGTGTGCGGGTCACTGGGCCAGCACTGGTGGGGCCACTCAAGGCTCTCAGGGTTCCAGTCAGCTCCTGCTAGAGTGAACTCTAATAACATCTTTTGATGAGTTTTATTAAACAGCGTTATAGGGATAACATATACCAATTACACATGTTTAAAGTGTACAATTTGATGTCTTGACATATGTATATTCCTTGAAACCATCACTCCAAGACTGTGAACATATCTATCACCCCCCCAAAATTTCCTCCTGCCCTTGGTAATCATCCCCTTCACCCTCCTCCCACCCTACCCAGGCAAAAACTGATATTCTCCATCACTACATTAGTTTGTATTCTCTAGAATTTTCTTTAAATGGAATCATATAATTTGCTTCTGCCTTCACTCAGCATATTTTAAGATGCATCCATGTTGTTATGTGCATTACTAGTTCTGGTATATCCAGAACTATTGTGTGGGTATATCACAATTTGCTTATCTATTCATCTGCTGATGGACATTTGGGTGGTTTCCAGTTTTTGGCTATTACACATCTAGCAGCTTATAAACACTCACATGTGTTTGGATGGAGATATGCTCTCTTTTTTCCTGTGTAAATATCAAGAAGTGGAATGCCTGGTAGATGTATGTTTAACTTTTCTTAAAAACTGCCAAAGGGGTGCCTGGATGGCTTGGTTGGATGAGCATGCAACTCTTGATCTCAGGGTTGTGAGTTTGAGCCCCACGGTGGGTGTAGACATTACTTAAATAAATAAAAAACTTTAAAAAAAAACCACTGCAAAAATGTACCATTGTACTTTACCATCAGCATGTATGACAGTTCCAGCTGTTCTGTAACTCTGCCAACACTTGGTATGGTCACTCTTTAATTTTAGGCATTCTAAGACATCTGTAATGGTAGCTCGCTGTGATTTTGACTTGCATTTCTCCAGTGACTAAGGATGCTGAGCATCTAATTTACTTTCCACAAATCTTCTTTGGTGAAGACTATCTTTTCAAATCCTTGCCCATTTTGAAAACTGGGTTATTTAATGCCTAATTTTTTAGTCTGCATTTTGAGAGTTCATCCTATGTTCTGGATACAAGTCATTTATCAGATAGGTGATTTACAATTATTTTCTCCCAGTCTACTGCGTCTTTTTATTCTTTTACCAGTGTCACCTATAGAAGTTTTTAATTTTGATGAAGTCCAACTTATCAATTTTTTCTTGTATGGATGGTACTTTTGATGTTACAGCTAGAAACTCTTTGCCAATCCCATGGTCATGAGACTTCCTTCAGTGTTTTCTTCTAGAAGTTTTATGATTTTACAAATAGACATATGACCCATTTTCAAGTGAATTTTTGTGTGTGGTGTGAGAATAAGAAGTGTTTAACATTGATGAAGCCCCATATCAATTTTTTTCTTTTGTATTTAGTGCTTTCCATGTCTAAGGAATCTTTGCCTTCCCCAAAGTGGCTAAAATATTTCCCTGTGTTTTCTTCAAAAAAGGATAATGTTTTTAGCCTTTACATGTAGACCTGTAATCCATCTCAAATTAATTCTTATATACAGTGTGAAGTAGGGTGGAGGTTCATTCCCCCCCCCTTACTGGCTAATCTAGCATTCTAGCACCATTTGTTGAAAACACTTCCTTTTCCCCACTGACTTGCTTTGATGACCATCAACAGTATTTTTTACAAGACAAGCTACAATTAAAAATCTACTCTGAACATTCCTCTCTCTCTCTCTCTCTCTCTTTGAACTCATTGACTCACTAAACATTTTTTGAGACCCCATGGCATATAGACAGTATGCTAGGAACAAGGGCTACACGGGTATGTAAGACATGTCCCCTGCCCTCAGGATGGTTACATCCAAGAGAAGAAGCAGTCATACAAACAAATAAGTGTGGAGAGTGGAGAAAACACTGTGATAGAGATTCTGCTCTGTATGGGGCCAGGCAGAGGAAGGAGAGATTGGGTCCTTTTTGAGTATATAAGGGAAAGTATCTCAGAGAAGGAGATAATCTGAGCTGGTCTTAAATGAAATATAAGGGAACGAGGGATATTTAAGAGGCACTCATAGCAGGTAGGGAGGCAAGGAGAACAGAACGTGAGCAGAAGGAACACCACGTGAAGCAGCCTGGAACATTTAGGGACTTATCAATAGTGGCTGAATATATTGGTCTGATGCTCAGTCTGGACTGGAGTTCCTTAGGAACTTCTCTGAATAAATCCAGGGCATCCAGCATGTACCCTCAGCTGGTGGGGGATCTATAAGTTGGATATTTTGGAGGAGGCTCTCTGTCCAGGGAGTCTCTTCCTTTCTACCCTAGGACAGCTGTCATCACCTCCACAGTAAAAGTGAACTTTGTTTGCTACAGCTTTTGGCCCAGCTATAAGGGAAAGAACATGAACTTACCGCTTCATTGATGGCTTTGATTAGGAAAAGACTATCCTTATAAAAGTAAAACAGTCTAGCAATACCTGAAACAGAGAATGTAAGATAAACAAGTAAGTCAAAGAAAAACTGGGATTTTTATATCTGACTTTTTGAATTATCATCTTGTGTTCATGGGTTATTAGGCCTCCCCCTGCCCTACTGGCTCCTGCGGATCTGTTTCCCTAGCTTCCTCTCCCGCTGACTCGACATGTTCAGGCTGTTCTCCCTCCTGGGTCCTCTCTGCCTACCGCTACCCATTCTCTTATCCTGGGAGCCTCAGTGAGACACTCAGAACTTGCCCTGACACCCATAATCCAGAAAGGCAAAGGCAAAGAGCCCACCGTGGGTGCAGGCCTAACTCAACCCAATAAACATCCAAGGGATATCTGCTGCATGACCACAGATGTGCTACGGACAACCAAGGCAGTTGCTGCATTCAAATGCATTACATCGAGGGTCACACAGATAGGATTCCAAGTAGATAAAATGCAGCGTGATAAACGCAATCTCATCTTTAGACCAAACTCCTCTTAAGTATCAACATTCCCATTCTAGCTGCCTCAAGGCTGCACATGCTCAGACTTATAGAAAAGTTTTGGAAGTAGTACAGAGTTCCCATATATCCCTCACCTCGTTTCCTCAATGATTGCATCTTACATAACCATACTATGATTTCTTCCTCTCCTTTTAATAGCCTGTGTCTTGGTTCAGACCTTCAGAATTTCTCTCCCTGATGAAAGCAATAGTTCTTGGCCTCCTTCTCTCTTTCTTTCTTTCTTTCTTTCTTTCTTTCTTTCTTTCTTTCTTTCTTTCTTTCTTTTTCTTTCATTCTTTCTTTCCTTCCTTCCTTCCTTCCTTCCTTCCTTCCTTCCTCTTCCTCTTCCTCTTCCTCTTCCTCTTCCTCTCCCTCCCTCCCCCAACAGAAGATAGGTTTATTTGGGGATACTAGAGAACTGCATCACCAGACAAGCAAACTACTACAAAACCAAACATTTCTGCCTCTCATTTTGACTTAGTCCTACCATGGTGTCCTTCTTAAAACACCGATTGAGTCAGGTCACTCTCCTACATAAACAGTGTCCTCTATTACACTGTCTAAGGTTCTTGTGTACTGTAGGCCCTGTGAAGGCCTGGTTCGCCCTCAGGCTGAAGGGAAAGAAACAATCCCTGGTTTATATGAGCAGCAGGACTTCTGAGTGCCCAAAGGGTGTGAAGTCTGGGTTCATACTGGCTGGTTGGCATTCTGCCTGTGCCACTCACCTTCTACATTTCCTCAAGTGAGTTATTTAACCTCAATGCCTCAGATGCATTTTCTGAAAAAACAGGGAAAATGAATTGTACTTACTTCCTAGGGCTGTTGTGAGGGTAAATGGGCCAACCTACAGACTAGTGCTTGGAACACCATCCTGTTCTGTAGATGTAAGTCAATATTACATGGCCCCACCCATACCTGGAAAGGAGATTAAATTAAACAGTCTACAGATAACTATAAATGAGGCTACAAATAAGAGGGAGAACTTGTACCCATTTCATCCACAGGAGCAATAAGTATTTCATTCCCTAAATCAGTGGTCCAGATGGAAGTGACATCGACCTTAAGTTTCTCCCAAATACATATTTGTTTAGCACTGTACAGATTATAGATGGAGAATCCTTTGGCTCCTCCAATGAAGACATAGTCTTGGGAAACTGCCATACAATTTGGCATCTTGCTGAGCTGGGAAAATAAAAACAAAGAAAAAAAAAGGAGTGATTTTCATCTGCCACCATCTATAAGAATATGAGCTAGCTTTTCAAAGAGGCATGTGGGCCCTTCCTAGATATAATATTACCCCCAAACAGTGCTTATCTAATTATCTTGCCCAAGCATCAGGAAAGTCATAGCATTCTACTTTTAGGAGAAAGGGGCCAGAAAACACAAATAAGTTAAGAATAAGTACACATTTACAATGCTAACCATGACCACAGGTCCTGTGATGAATGGACAGGCGGCACCATTCCCTGTACTCTTTTCATTGAGAACACTATTGAAAGGGCTATAGCTGAGACACTGGCAGATTCTCAACTATCAAGCAAGAGGGTAATTAATACATTCAGAAATATATTTTTTTAAGATTTTATTTGTTTATTCCTGAGAAACACACACACACACACAGAGAGAGAGAGAGAGAGAGAGAGAGGCAGAAGCAAGCTCTATGCAGGGAGCCTGACATGGGACTTGATCCTGGGTCTCCAAGAACACGCCCCAGGCCGAAGGCAGTGCCTAAGCACTGAGCCACCAGGGCTCCCCCCAGAAATATTATTAAATAGCAATAGAATATAAAAGATTTTCTGTGTAATCTTCAACTAATTAGAACACCCATTTCCCAGGCAATTACTAGATCCATTTTAATCACCATGAGCATGCCTATAATCTTTCAAAAATGCATCTGTCTTGTGAATGAAGGTTCCTTGGAGCAGTTCCTTCCCTGAATCAGGTAGTTTCATTTATTAACACTCAACTGGGAAACAGGGACTCCTGGTCAGCTGCTCCATACCTTGTTTTCTACATGTGGAGGGTAGGTGACAGGCTGGATCCGGCTGAGCTCAGCTTCCCTCAATGCATCCCTCTCCTGGATAACTTTCCAAGACTGGTCAAATAGAAGGTTCACCATCTTGTTGATCATTCGATAAGGCTGAGGCAGGGAATCCATCTCCTGACCTGAATCTTTGAAGACATAATCACCTTCATCATCCTTTGGCCAGTCCTTCTCTGTTGGGGATGGCACTTCCAGGAGCCCCTTTCTTGTAAAACTGGAGAGCCTCTTCTTCTCAACTTGACTTCTTCTGGGGATTGACATCACAGAAGCTGGCACCGGGACCTCTTATGAAACTCTGAATAACTGATAAAGGAAGCAAGCAGAGGTACTCTGAGAAAAAGGGAAAGTTACCAGAAAACAGCACATTATTACCCTTTCTAGTGAAAAGTCCCATGGGGACTATTTCTTCTAGAGACTGCCACTCTCCTGATTTATCACAGGATTGTTACCGCATTGCTAAGGTATGCTCTTCATACTATCAGGATATCGGCAGAAATGGGTATTGCTGAGTCACATCTTCCAGGCCAGCCCAAGATAATGTGTGGTATAGTGCAGGGAGAAGAATCTGGCATTCTTGCTGCTTTCTCCATCTCCTGCTCAGGGACGGTCTGTCTCAGTCCCAATGAGAATTCAACCTCTCTCCTACCACTTAGGTTTTCTCTTGCTTCTTCCATGTCTGCAAATGGTTGTGCCCAGGCCAGCTGAGTAGTGAACCAGGATTGCTCTCTTTCCTTTCCCTCACTTCCAACCAGATGCCAGATGCCGTTCAAGCACTTGCAATCCTAGCTGTCTCTTTTGTTCCTTTCTCTCTAGGCTCACTGCTACCAATCAGGAGTTCTGTAGGCAGAGTGTATTTTTGTAGGCCTGTGAAATTTTTTTCTAGAGCTTACAAAAATACTGGAGACTCAAAAAAAATTGGACTAAAACAAAACAGAATCCCCACAAAATCAAAATAATTAAACACTCACAAAATATTACAATTTATCAGTTCCAATCTGTGTGTATGCGTAACATGTCAGACCATAGAAAAGAACAAGTAATCTGTACTTCATAAAACACAAAGCTATACAAATTATAAAAAGGCTTTCAAAATTACAGTTAAATAAAGGCATTTAATGTGGCACCTGGGGTCCATTTTAAGATGCTTAACATGTAGCAGAGTGGGATCTTATACTGTCAAAGTGCTGGGGGCCATGGAACTCTTATAAAAACCTGCTGCCATCATCTTTCCTTGTCTGCTAGAATACATCTGTGATGTTTCCAGTGCATGAGTAGAGGAGATAGCTGAGTCTCAATATGAGAGAAAAGAACCACCTGAATTAACTGGTAGAAACAGTAAGCTGAGCTCACACAGGGCCAGGAATAATACCAGTTTCCACCAGGGAAACTGGAAAGCCTCATAATTCACAAACACTGGGTGGGGTACTCAGAAGAGTCTTGCCAACTAGTGGAAAAAAATTAGCCCTAGAATAAATGCTTCTCTGGTATTGCTAAATCTTAGAAGATCAAAAAATTGCTAAGTAACTTAACTGCATACCAGAACAAAGTCCAAGAATATTTACAAGAATACAGAAATATCCAGCATTCAATGAAGTAAATGTCTGGGATCCAATAAAAAAAAATTACTTGGCCTGCAGAGGCAAGAAAACATAGCCATAATAAAAAGTCACTCAATTGAAGCTGACTCATCATCAACAAAGCTATTAGAATTAGCAGACAAAACAGTTATATTTCACATGTTCAAAAACCAAGAGGAAATGTTAGCTAGAGATGTGGAAGATACAAAGAAACCCAAACTAAACTTTTAGAGATGAAAATTACCATGTTGAGACAAAGAATACATTTGACTAGATTTAAAATTTTTTAGATTTATTTATTTAAGAGAGAGAGTATGAGAGAGTACATGCTTGTACTCATCAGCGGGGGAGGAGCAGATGGAGAGAGAGAAGCAGACTCCCCTCTGAGCAGGGAGTCTGATATGGGGCTCTATCTCAGGACTCTGGGATCATGACCCAAGCCGAAGGCAGATGCTTAACCAGCTGAGCCACTCAGGCACCCCTACATTTGATTAGATTAATCACAAGCTCTCAAAACAAAACGAATTACATGGACAGAGATAAGTAAATTTTAAGATACAGAAAAAGATACAGAAACAAAAATGAAACAAGAGAGGGAAAAAAATGAAGAAAGTGAGGTGTGGGAGAACCTGAAGTAGCCTAACATAAGTGTGGTTGAACTCCCTAAAGGGGGAAGAGACAGAAAAATCTGTAGAAATAGACAAAATGTTTCTAAATTTTATGAAAACTATAAACTCACAGATACAAGAAAAAAATAAGTCCTAAGCAAATGAAACACGAAGAAATCTATACCAAGGCACTTCATGAATAAAACTAGTGATAAATGGGATACATGGGTGGCTCAGTGGTGGTGTCTGCCTTCGGCTAAGGGCGTGATCCCAAGGTCCTGGGATCAAGTCCCACATCGGGCTCCCCTCATGAAGTCTGCTTCTCCCTCTGCCTATGTTTCTGCCTCTCTGTCTCTGTGTCTCTTATGAATAAATAAATAAAATCTTTAAAAAAAACTGGTGATAAAGACAAGATTTCAAAAGCAGCCAGAGAAAAAGAAGACATGAATAAAGGAACAAAATAGAGGATGACAACAGATTTCCTAAGGAGGTAAAGAACAGTGGAGCAGTGTTCTAGAACACCCTACCCAACAACGGCAATGAACAGCTTCTTTTTTAAGTACACATGAAACATTTTTCAAGACAAATCATATTCTGGGCCATAAGCCAATTCTTAAATTTAAGAATACTCAAGAAATACAAAGTATTTTCTGACCACACAGAATTATTTCAGAAATCAATGACACAAAGATATTTAGAAATACACAAGAGCTCAAGAATAACACACTTCTCACTAACTTATGGATCACTACTACATACCTATTAGAATGGCTAAAATAAAAAAATACTGACAATACAATACAAAAAAATGACACACTGACAGTACTAATGAAGCTGTGGAGCAACTGGACACTCCTACATTGCTGTTGGGAATACGAAATGATACCACCACTCTGGGAAAGGATTTGGCAGTTTCTTATGAAGGTAAACATATATGTACCATATAACCCAGCAATTGCACTCCTAGGTATCTATCTACTCCAGGACTATGAAAACTTACATTCACACAAAAGCCTGTACACAAATGTCTATAGCAGCTCTATTTTTAATTGCCCCAAATAAAAAAAAAAAACAATCCAGATACCTTTTACCACATAAATGGATAAACCAACTGTGGGATAGCCACATAAGGAATACTACACAGTAATAAAAAGTGAAAAACTACTGATACGGACAAAAACACGGGTGAATTTCAAAGGCATTATGCACAGTGAAAGAAGCCAGTCTCAAAATCTATGTGCAGTGATTTCATTTATATGGCATTCTAGAAAACACAAACAAGTAATGCAGAACAGATCAGTAGTTGCCAGGAGCTATGTGTGGAGGGAGGATGTTATTTTTCTTGATTTTATTTATTTATTCATGGGAGACACACAGAGAGAGGCAGAGATATAGGGAGAGAGAGAAGCAGACTCCCTCTGGGGAGCTTGATGCAGGACTCCATCCCAGAACCCCAGGATCATGACCTGAGCCGATGGCAGACGCTCAACAACTGAGCCACCCAGGTGTCCCAGGAGGATGTTATTTAAAAAGGATAGCATGAGGGAGATTTTGGGGGTGATGAAGCTGTTGTATCCAGATTGGAAAAGATGTTAAACTGTCTTTATTCCCACACAATATGATTATTTATATAGTAAATCTGATGAAATCTACCAAAAAAAAATCTACTAACACTAATAAAATGAGGTTAGCAGGGTTGCTGGATAGAATTTCAATATAAAAAACCTACTGTATTTCTATAAACTGGCAACAAAAAACAAAAATTGACATAAAAATACTATTTATAATAGTATCAAAATATGAAATAGGGATAAGTCTGGCAAAAGATGTTTAAGACCTGTATGCTGAAACTGTAAAATATTGCTGAGAGAAATTAAAGAAGACCTCAATAAATGGACAGAATACCTTGCTTATAGGTTGGAAGACTCAATTTTGTTAAGATGTCAATTCTCCCCAAATTCATCTATGAATTCAACACAATCCCTATGATAGTCCCAGCTGTCCTTTAAAAAAAAAGTTTAGGAAATTAAGAAGCTGGTTTTATAATTCATATGGAAATGCCAAGTACCTAGAATAGCCAAAATAACTTAGAAAAAGAAGGACAGAATTGGAGGATTAACATTACCTATTTCAAGACTTATTATAAAGCCACAGTAATCAAGACAGTGTGGTACTGGCATCAAAATACACAAATAGATCAGTGAAACCAAATAAAGAGCCCACAATTAGATTCACATATGTATGGACAGCTTATTTTTGACAAAGTAAAGATTATCCAATGGAAAAGATGATAGTTTTTTTTTTCAATAAGTAATGCTGCAGCAATTAGATATACAAATGGAAAAGAAAATGACTCTGGGGGCACCTGGCTGGCTCATTTGGTAGAGCACGTGACTCTTGGGGTTATGAGTTCAAATCCTATGTTGGGTGTAGAGATTACTTAAAAACAAAATCTTAAGGCGTGTCTGAGTGGCACAGTTGGTTAAGTATCTACCTTCAACTCAGGTCATGATCCCAGGGTCCCAGGATTGAGCCCTGTGTCAGGCTTCCTGCTCAGCAGAGAGTCTGCTTCTCTCTCTCTCCCTCTGCCCCTACCCCCACTCATGTACTTGTTCTCTCTCCCTCTCTCTCCCTCTCTCTCAAATGAATAAAATCTTTAAAATAAAATCTTAAAAAAATGAACTCTGATCTATACCCTGCAGCATATACAAAAATTAACTCAAAAAGTAAATCATAGACCTAAACGTAAAATTTTAAACTGTAAGACTTCTAGAAGAAAATATAGGAGAAAACTTTTGCAGTCTTTAGTCAAACAAAGATTTCTTTTTTTAAAATTTTTTATTTATTTATGATAGTCACACACAGAGAGAGAGAGAGGCAGAGACATAGGCAGAGGGAGAAGCAGAATCCATGCACCGGGAGCCTGACGTGGGATTCGATCCCAGGTCTCCAGGATCGCGCCCTGGGCCAAAGGCAGGCGCCAAACCGCTGCACCACCCAGGGACCCCTAAACAAAGATTTCTTAAATATGACATTGAAGTACAACCTATACAAGAAGAAATGAATAATTTAAACCTTCCAAAAATAAATTTATCCTTTTCAGAAAACACTGTCCAGAAAATAAAAGGTAGTCCACAGACTGGGAGAAAACAGTTGCAGGTCATATATATGATAAAGTACTTGTGTTCAGGATGTTTTGCACATTCTTAAAACTCCATTATAAGAAATGACCCAATTTTTTCAAATGGGTGAAAGATTTGCACACTTAACCAAAGAAGATAGACTGGATGGCATATTGGCACATGAAAATATGTCCAACATCATTAGTTAGTGAAATGCAAATAAAATCACAGCGAGATGCCACAACATGTGTACTGGAATGCCTAAGGCTAGAAGACCACACCAAGTGTTGTCAAGGATGTGGACGATACGGAACGACTCCAACTACTGTTGGGAAGATAAAATGGTACAATCAGTTTGGAAAAGTTTAGCAATTTCTTAAAAAGTTAAACATACTACCTACCACAATAGCCAGTCATTCCACATTCCACACCTAGGTATAAGGAATGAAAACATATGTCCCCATGTAGTCTTACATATGAATGTTCATTATGACTTGGCTTACAAATAATGGTTCATTATTTGTAAGAGCCCCAAACTGGAAATGACCCAAATGTTTATCAACGGGCGACCAGATAAAATAGCATAGTCACCGGGACGCCTGGGTGGCTCAGTGGTTGAGCACCTGTCTTTGGCTCAGGTCATGATCCCGGGATCCCAGGATTGAGTCCCACATCGGGGTCAAGGAGCCTGCAAGGAGCCTGCTTCTCCCTCTGCCTGTGTCTCTGCCTCTCTCTCTGTGTCTCTCATGAATAAATAAATAAAATCTTAAAAACAATAGCATAGCCACTTTGGAAAACAGTCCAGCAATCTCTCACAAAGTTGAATATACATTTGTCATATGATTCAGCAATCCCATTCCTACATATTACACAAGAAAAGTTTGTTTCATATGAAAATCTGTACTTAAATATTTACAGTAGCTTTATTTATAATTGCCCCAAACTAGAAACAACACAAATGTACTTCAGTGGGTGAAGAGATAATGAACTATGGTACATCCATACAATGGACTTTGTTTTTTTAACAATAAAAAGCCAAAAACTACAGATAGGATATATACAACATGGAACAAACTCAAATGCATGATGCTAAGTGAAAGAAATCAGATAGAAAAAGCTATATACTACATGATTCAATTTGTATAATATTGTGGAAAAGGAAGAATTATAGGTATAGGAAACAATATAAATCTGTCTTTAAAAGCACCCTGTGCTCATCTTTATCATCATATCACCGTGTTGTATTTACTATTTACTTACTATGTCACTCATTAACCTAGGCCTTAGCACAGTGGTTGGTACATGGCCAGCATCAACAAACCATTTGCTTGCAGTATTGCCCTGACCTGGGACATCAATTTAGAGAATACTAAATGCCTCTCTTACAAGCACTTACCTCTGACAAGGATGAGCAATTTATGGGGCCAAGAGATTATACATACCCAGAGCCTAGATGCATCCTTCTGGAGTCTAGACCACATTCAGGTAACTATAACCTGAAATTCACTGCCCAGATGATGCCAAGGCCGACACAAACCTCTTTCCCAGCTTTCTTTTGAGGGCAGGCCCAGATGCTAATATGTGCACTCCTAGACCTGAAAGGTAGCCAGGACGTGGCTGTTTGCAGGAGTATGGGCAGAACTTGGATGTGGCTTGGAATATCCACACATTGTATGCAAGGCCCCCTCAAGTGATGTGGATGGGAGCCAGGAATGAGAAGAGAAGTGGCGGGTGGGAAAGGACTGGGGGCCAGCTCTCCCCACAGTCCCACATTCCAGCTGTGTTTCTAGGTATTTCAAGGAGCCCAAGAATTCTGAATGTGAAACTGAACTTGTAGGTCATTATGAAAATATATTTGACAAGGTAGGAGAACAGAACATATCTGATGTGACAACTGGTTACCTAGACTTAAAACTTTAAAATATTTAGGGGTGCCTGGGTGGCTCAGTCAGTTGAGCATCTGCTTTCTGCTCTGAGTGTGATTCCCAGGGTCCTGGGATTGAGTCCTGCATCGGGCTCCCTGCTCAGTGAGGAGCCTGCTTTTCTCTCTCTCTCTCTCATTCTCTTTCCTACCCTTCCCCACCCCCACACGTCTCTCTCTCTCTTGCTCCTGCTCTATCTCAAATAACTATTTTTTTTTTAAAAAACCTTTCAGATATTTAAACATATGAAATGTGGGAGAGGTGCCTAGCTGGTTCAGCCCTTGGAGCTCAGGACTCTTGATTTCAGGGTTATAGGTTCGATCCCCAGGATGGATGTAGAGGTTACTATAAAATCTTTTGGGGCATCTGGGTGGCTCAGTCTTTAAGCCTCTGACTCTTGGTTTCAGCTCAGGTTATGATTTCAGGGTCCTGAGATGGAGCCCCACACAGCGCTCAGCACCAGTCCCCTGGGGATCCTCTCCTGCTGCCCTAGCCCCCACTCACTGCATGCCTCTGGGGTACTCTCTCTCTCAAATAAAGAAATAAAAATATTTAAAATATACAAAATCTTTTTTAAAAAAATAATAAAATAAAAAACATATGGTTTGTGGGTCTGTATTTGCAATCCTACCCCGAGGCCTGCACATTTTAAGGGCAGGAATGACCAAGGCAATAACGATTACAGAAACAGGTGACCTCACTTTTTGATTAGAGGGGATATATTTCGTAAAATTACTGCTATGGAACAGGTGGGATTTCCATGTTTTCAAGCCCCAAAGAACCAACGTTCAGTGGTGCAATTTCCTCGAAATCAGTTTCTGCCTCCACTTTGTTCATATTAGCCCTTCTAGGATATCCTCAGGCAGCAATCTTCTTTGAGGACTCAATGATCCAAACAGAAAATTCTCTCATTTTACCGGGTTTTCCATGCTAGAAGTACATGCCACGCACTGGCTGATCTCTGCGCTAAGCATTTCTTCCCCAGACCCGCAGCTGGTGGTGCTCAAGAGGCATAGCGGTGGGAAATGATTAAGCCCCAAAGTCCCCAAGCAAAACCTCAGGGGAATCTCCATTCGGGATGCCGCAGGGAGTTCCCAGGATCTCCGGGGACACCCGAGGCTGGGGAGATGGGTCCTCCCCTTCCTCAGAGCCCGGGTACCCCCCACCCCCCACCCCGCAGCAGAGCCCCTCTCTAGGAGACTCTAGATATCGAGGGGTGGCCAGGGACACGAGGGGAATCGCTGAACACGCGCCGGGAAGCCGAAGTTCCGCTCACCTGGGCCGGCGGCGGTGCGTCTCCTTAGTAACCGCCACTTCCGGTCCCCGCCGGAAGCCCGTGAAGTCTCTCTTCCGAAGGCGCGCCCGCCCGGGTGGAGGCGGGGAGATTCAGCCTCTCCCGCAGGGACCCAGTGACACCTTTGAGGACTCGGGACCGAACCCGGAGCGACACGTGGCCTCGGGCCGGGCGCCATGGACGCCTTCACCCGCTTCACCAACCAGACCCAGGGCCGGGACCGACTCTTCAGGTGAGTCAGGTGCCGGCGGCCTGCACCCCTTCCTGGCGCTGCGACCCGAGCTGGTCCCGTGACCCCCGGCTCCCCGAGGAGGGACCCGCCCAGTGGACGGCGGCGGGACGGAATTGGGTTCCGAAGCCCTTCTCGCCGGCACTCTGCCGGACCGGGCCTCGCGGCCGCCCTGACCCCAACCACGGCACACGCACACCAATCCACCAGCGCTCTCCTAACCCGGGGAACACCGGGTCTTCTCCACTCGGCATTCCTCCCGGGAGTTATTTTTAAGAATTTAATTTTTGGGGGGACGCCTGGGTGGCTCAGCGGTTGAGCGTCAGGCACCCAGGCTCCGGGCGTGATCCTAGAATCCAGGATCGAGTCCCGCATCGGGCTCCCTGTGAGGAGTCTGCTTCTCCCTCTGCCTGTGTCTCTGCCTCTCTCTGTGTGTCTTTCATGAATAAATAAACAAAATCTTTTAAAATTTTTAATTTTTTAAAGTAATCTCTACACCACAGTGGGACTCGAACTGGCAACCCCGAGATCCAGAGTCCACCGCTCCACCGACTGAGCCAACTAGGCGTTCCCCGCTCCCCCCACCCCACCCCCGTTTGTTTATTTATTTATTTTTAAGATGAACTTTGGGCTGACATTTGTGGCCCGGGAAGCCAGCCACTTGGTTGTGGCTTCAAATACCCCCATGAAATGCTTATGGAGAGACAGAAATTGTATTTCTCTTCTATTATTGCCCTCCTATCTCACTGAGATTGTAGGGAAGTAAAGATTCTCCCTCTATCCTTAAGGTCTTTCAACTAGACTAAGAAATAAATGTACACGAAACAGGAAAAAAAAAAAAAGGTGTGTGCACAGAGTCCCAGTATTGAAATTAAGACCTAAAGAAATGACCCAGGGAGGCAGTTTGTCTACATTTTAGACAAACAGACAATATATTTGTGAAGAATTGGCAGGATAAAGAAAACAGGTGTTTTGGAGCTTCATTTAGGAGCGAATCCTAAATAGGATTTAGGCTGAAATAGTAAGATGAGAAGAAGAGAAAAATAAAAGTAACGAGGTTTGTTTCTATAGATTTCTCTGTTTTAAAGCCCCTATCTTTGGTGATAAGGAAGTCTTTTTACTTACTACAAGGAGGGTATTTTTTTCTCATGGGAGATGTGTTTCCTACTTTCTGGGGGATAGAGAAGGGTCTGAGTGTCCTTGTACTGCTGTTTCTTAAATAACTTTTATTTAGAATAATCTATATGCCAGAGTGGCACCTTTTGGGTTGGCCTACCCTTGGCCCCTACGGTTTCCCTTTCCGAAACTTCCCTGGAAGTTTCTTACATTAAAAGTTGAGCTGGTAGATTGTCCCATGTCCTTGAACCAGTGTCTTAGTTCCGACGATAGGTCATTTTGGTTAAACTCATTTCAGGAGGTGGTGACGCAAGTGTGTTCTAAGTTTGGCCAGGGTTCAAATTATCAGATTATAAATAAGGCATCTTTAGGGAAACAAAAGAAAAGCAATTAATGATTATATCAAATTATGAACCAGCTTCTGAGTTCTGAATGTAGCCAGTCAAAGATTTCTAGTTGTTAAGGTTTAAAGCATCTTTACATAAAGTGAGGGCAGGCAGTGGCAACCTGACAGAGTTTCTTGGTTTGTAGTTGAGTGTTTCTGGAGATCATCTTGAGTGGCTTGTAGAGCACCAGGCATGAAGATTGTTCATGTGTGAGCTGTTGTGACTTTTCTGAAGTTCACATCAAGTTGTTCATACTCAATTTGCAGGGCTTTAAGAAAAAGGGCAATCCTAGTTATCAAATGATTGCACGTCAAAAGGATAGGAAATACCAAAAATACTAGTTTGGAGAATTGTAACCAGGCTTCGGAAGAAGCTAGAAGAAATTAGGATCTAGCCCAGTTTATAAAGAATTGTATTTGAATCTAATTTCCACAAAGGTGTATTATTGAAACATAATTTTTTTCATATACTCACTCTCATTTTACCAAAGAGTGCCAAATCAAGACTAATTTCTTACAAAATAAATCTAGTTGGGATAAACTTGGCCTGATTATTTACAAAAATGCAGCAAAAAGCAAAAATAGTGATTAAACATATAGGCTCTTTTAAATCTGCTTTGCTGGAACTTTTTTTATTAGGAATCTCCATACTGAACTTTAAACAACCTCTTGAAGCCAGAAGCCAAGTCAAATATTGCCATCAGACTTCACCTGTAATACCAAGAGATTAAGGTTAATTCTTCTTGGGACGCTTGGGTGGCTCAGCGGTTGAGCGCCTGCCTTTGGCCCAGGGTGTGATCTTGGAGTCCCGGGATCGAGTCCCACGTCGGGCTCTCTGCGTGGAGCCTGCTCCTTCCTCTGCCTGCCTCTGCCCCCACCCCTCTCTGTCTCAAGAATAAATAAATAAAATCTAAAAAAAAAAAAAAAAGTTAATTCTTCTCTTCTTGAGGTCCCCAAAATACCCTGAGGTTCTTGGATCTGTCAGGAAGTGGCCTCCTTTACTCACCTGGTAAGGCTGCTGGGAGCCCTGTAAGCAAGCTCTCAGGCTCTTTTTCCAAAGGCCCTTACTGGCTCCTTATAGTCACCCTTACTGCCTTAAAACTGTCCAGTCATATCTGAGTTAATGCCTGTCTCCCAAGTGTGACATTCCAGTCAAAGCCTTGGTAATGTAACCCATGTTTCCACTTGTGTCCTGTTACAAGGAGAACTAATTCTTACTGAACTTACCTAAATATTGTCCAAAAAAAAAAAAATAGAATAATTCAATGAGCGTTTTTGAATTCTGGAGGGATCAGATAAGGAAAGAAAGAAATCGTTGTAAATCATAGGTTAAGGGCACCTGGGTGGCTCAGTGGTTGAGCGTCTGCCTTCGGCTCAGGTCATGGTCCCGGGGTCCCGGGATCGAGTCCCGCGTTGGGCTCCCTGCAGGAGCCTGCTTCTCTCTCTGCCTGTGTCTCTGCCTCTCTCTATCTCTGTCTCTCATGAACAAATAAATAAACTTTTAAAAAAAAATCATAGGTTAAGAGAAAAACTTTTCTTAAATCTGTAAAACAAAGCATTAAAAAATTAGCAATGTTCCAAGCAAAATTGTCAATTATAATCATTCTCCAAAGTTTATTTAGTCGTTATTTATTCTTGATCTGCTTAAATTCTTTTCTTCCATTAGTTCCAAAATTCCTTACTCAGTTCAGTATTATAATCTTAAGGTTATCGAAACCTTTATTTGTCAAAATTCATTTTTAGGAATCTCTCAAGATAAAACATATTTGCAGGAAGCTTTTGTAAAGGAATCTTGAGTAAAGTATTAACTGTCTATAAATGATAAAAATGTTAAAAATGGCCATGATTAAAGATCTGACTAAAGTTTGTTAGGAGGCAAGATTTCCTGTTCCTACATTTCCTACATAGAACATTTCAAAATATTTGATCATTTTACTTCTTAGTACAGGGAGGTTATTTTTCATGTGGGAGATATGTTTCCTGCTTTCTGGGGGTTGAAGGAGGCTCTGAGTGTCCATGTACCAGCTGTTTCTTCAGTAACTTTTATTTAAAATAATCAGTGTACAGATTTTGGGGCAGCCTGCTCTTGGCCCCTTCAAGATTCTGTGTGGAATAGTTTTGGTTTTTTTTTTTTAAGATTTTATTTATTCATGAGAGACACACAGAGAGAGAGAAAGAGAGGCAGAGACACAGGCAGAGGGAGAAGCAGGTTCCATGCAGGAAGCCCAACGTGGGACTCAATCCCGGGTCTCCAGGATCATGCCCTGGGCCGAAGGCAGGCACTAAACCGCTGAGCCACCCGGGCTGCCCAGTGTGTGGAATAGTTTTGTTAACCATAAAACAAAGTACAATATGGAGAGCACCAGAGTACAATATGGAGAGACAGAACTAACTGTACCTCTAAGGTGCATGCTATGCTGCTGGAAATACTAGACAGAGATTGTGCTTTTTTTGCTTTTTTTTTCTTTTTTTCTTTTTTTAATTTTTATTTCTTTATGATAGTCACAGAGAGAGAGAGAGAGAGGCAGAGACACAGGCAGAGGGAGAAGCAGGCTCCATGCACCGGGAGCCTGACGTGGGATTCGATCCCGGGTCTCCAGGATCGCGCCCTGGGCCAAAGGCAGGCGCCAAACCACTGCGCCACCCAGGGATCCCCCTTTTTTTTTTTCTTTTTTTTTTAAGATTTTATTTATTCACTTGAGAAAGAGAGAGCATGAGTGGGAGGAAGAGGAAGAAACAGACTCCCTGCTTAGCAGGGAGCCTGACATGGGGCTCTATCCCAGGACCCCAAGATCATGACCTGAGCCAAAGGCAGATGCTCAACCGCAGAGCCACCCAGGTGCCCTGAGATTGTGCTTTAACACTAATTAGTTTCCAATTAGTAACACTAATGATATTTCTTTTAGAAATTTGGTTGAAAAAAAAAAAGAAATTTGGTTGATTCTTAATAAAGAAAGAATAGTAAGGGTTGTGATTTCATTTAACATCTTTCCCTTCTCTTCTGGATGTGGAAGGGCTAAGACAGTCCATGAATGGCCCCGGTCATGAGACTTTTGGAAGCCGATTTTATCCAGATTTTGTTCTCAGTGTGTTACAACTGTTCATTCATTTAACCCTCATCACAACCCTAAGAGGTAGATACTCTAAATTATTCCCATTTTACAGATTGGGAAACTGAGGCAGAAGGTTAATAGGAACTAAGTGGCAGAACTGAGATTGAAATCCACATGGTTGACTCCAGTGCCCACATAGTAATAACCAACCCATACTACTGTTGTAATTAATTTGATGGATTTTTTAAATGGTTGCATTATATACAAGCTTCATTAAAATATAAGCCTTCTAATGCACTGCTCTCGGAGTGTACCCTGCAAGGTTTATCAGTGAGGTTGGTTCATAAACAAATTGTTTATGATATACTTTTCAGTAAGATCTGAGATCTCTAGTATTTATTTCCCAACACCCATGGTGATCTATAGCTCCCGTAAACTAACTGGCATTCATAAAATAATACCTTGGTTTGGGACACATTCCTGTTATTAGACCAAATCTGAAAAAGGGAGACTTATTGGTGTGACCAGCTTGAGCCCTATGGCCATGAAGCTACTTTATTTATTTATTTATTTTTTCATGAATCTACTTTAAAAGAGAGAGAAAGAGAGAGATTGATTCTTTTTAGTTCACCTCTAGTACCAAGTTCACCATTTTGGAAAATGTGCCACATTTTATTGAGCATAATATTGGTAGCTGACAGTGGTTCCAGTGCAGTTACAGGACTGTGGGAAACAGGCACCCACTTTGTTAAATATTAATGTGTTTAGATGTTTGATTCTGTGATATAAAATTTCTCATGTGTTACATTGCTGTTAGTAAGGATTGTTATTTATAGTCCTAGCAAAAATCACTTTACTGAATATTTAGTATTTTTAGGGAAAAAAACAAAACAAAACTAGTTAGGGTTTTATATAAATACAGGCTCGGGATCCCTGGGTGGCGCAGCGGTTTGGCGCCTGCCTTTGGCCCGGGGCGCGATCCTGGAGACCCGGGATCGAATCCCACATCGGGCTCCCGGTGCATGGAGCCTGCTTTTCCCTCTGCCTGTGTCTCTGCCTCTCTCTCTCTCTCTCTCTCTCTCTCTCTCTCTCTGTGACTATCATAAATAAATAAAAATTAAAAAATAAAGGCTCCTGCTTAATATTGAAAGACGAATATAAAAAGACATCTATACGTATTTATGTTGGTATGTATTTGATCTTCTTATAAAAAATTAAGCAATGTGCCAACTAAACTTTTCATTTGGTTCTGGTTTAAGTGTATGTCCAGTCATATCAGTAGTTGGTAGTAGGTAAAAATTTCATTTTAGAAATCTGAAAAATCATTCTATATAGGAGAAAATAAGGAATATGGAATACTGGAAACTTACCATGAGGGAGATATTTGTACATTTTACTGCTTTGACTACCCATTTCTCTGTGCCAGCAACAGGCCTCTTTAGGGGCTGTTCATTATTCCTGCAGAGTTCTGTTGCATTACCTTTGTGCCATATTTCCATCACATGTTCTACCCTTTGGCCCTTGGAGTGACTGTTGCAAAATTATGCTCTTGTAAGAGCCACTTCCATGAGAAATTGTCTTGGAAATTTTGCTTTTAGCAACACACTTTTCTGCTTTCCTTACTGCATGAATCAAATTTTGTTTGGTTTGTAAATCATTCTCCTCATTTTTTTTTTCCATTTCAGAGCCACTCAGTACACATGCATGTTGCTTAGATATTTGTTAGAGCCTAAAGCTGGCAAAGAGAAGGTGGTAATGAAGCTCAAGAAACTGGAGTCCAGTGTGAGCACTGGCCGTAAATGTAAGTACCTAGTCTCTTGAGGGACAGTGGCTCCTGGTTTCAAATCATCAGACCCTGTAATTCACAAAATGCTTTCTACTTTCTAGATCATTGATTTCTAATCCATCATGTTTTTTGATGAAGTTGACCAGTAAGGCTGCCCTCATGAAATGACAGGCCCAGAAAATTGGATGTTTTGCTACCGACCATTTGCAAACACCCTCCTATGTGCACACTTGGTGCTGTACTGTATCTTTTTGCTTAATCATAACCAGTGGACATATGGCATTTTGCTCGTCTTTCATTCTTAGAATTGTACAATGTTTTGGCAGTCCCTAACATGAGCTTCTGGCTCCTGGAAGGCCTTTGTATTTTCTAGAAGAGCAGAATAGCTTACCTTTTCTCCTTCTCTTGAGGGATTGCTAGAGGAAATTGATGGGGTGGTTCTCAGCCTGTTTGTGGGGTGGTTTCATGTTCAAGGCAAAAATGAAGTTAGTGTTTTGCACTCTATTAATTCAATTTAATAATAAAGCATACCGGGAAAACCTCGTACTTCTAATAACAATTTCATACCCAAATCTTAGTTGTTTGGTAAGAATCAGATGTTGTCACAGCAGGAAGGCGGAGATGTTAGAGTGGAATATAGAAATTAGATGGTGAACAATTATTTTTGCGTACCTACCTTAGGTATGGTGCTGAGCTTTATGAGACAAATAAGATTACATGGTGTAAATAATAAGATTTAGTGCCAAATATATTAGCTAGGATAGAGGAAAAGAAAAGTTTAGGAGGAAATGGAACTTGAGCTGTAGCTAGAGAATAAGGGAAGGAGAGCCTTTCTGAAGGATGATTTCCTCCATGAAGGCTCAGAACTGTTATGAACAGACCATTGTATTGGACGATCAATGAGGAAACTAGTTTGACAGAAGACTTAAATTTTCTTTTTTTTTTTGAAAAGATTTTATTTATTTATTCATGAGAGACACAGAGAGAGAGAGAGAGAGGCAGAGACACAGGCAGAAGGAGAAGCAGGCTCCATTCAGGGAGCCCGACGTGGGACTCAATCCCTGGCCTCCAGGATCAGGCCCTGGGCTGAAGGCAGCACTAAACTGCTGAGCCACTGGGGTGCCCAGAAGACTTAAATTTTCAAGTGGAGGCATGTTGGGGGTAGGGTGAGCTTTGGGGGATGGCTTTGAAGGATAGGATTAGAAGTTCTCAGATTCTTTAGTATCTTAGAACTCATAGGTCACTAGTCTCTGAAGTTGAGGAAGGAATTACCCAGGGCCATTCAGCCATTTTGATGCAAGAGTCCAAACTGGAACCCAGGATTATTCATTACATACTCTGTTTTGTGTTATTTTTGATATAATACCAGACATTCTCTTGAGATTATAAGTCTATTGAGGATATTAAGTGTTTGCTGAGTCAAAGATATGGTCCTTAATGGAAAATACTTCTTTTGTATTCTCCATAATGTTTAGGACTATAACTCATTCTGAGTAGATACTCAGTAAATACTTGTTGATTAATACATCCCCAATTAATTGAATTACATGCTCAGATATGGCTATGCCTTATAGTGGTTGATTGAATTCAACTAGGAGTCACATATGACAATATTAATAGTTTTCCTATCTTCTAAATCCTACCATCTCTACGGAGCTGAAGGGGCTTTGGGACACAGAGATGGCAAAATGATAATGGTGTTTTATTTAAAAACAAAAAACAAACAAACAAAAAAAGCAGTCTTTTGTCTGGAAAGTCAATAAAATCTAAGGTATCGGACTCTCTAAAAGGATATTGGCATTTGGGTCGGGAGGAATGGCCACAGTGAATCAAACCTTAATATGTGCAAAAATAAACAAGGAAGTAAATAAAGTTGCATCTAGACTTCATGTTATCATAGTACTACTTCTAAAGATGTAGAGCTGATAAGCTGATAATGGTAAAATGTCACAATCCACACTCATGATTGACCTTGCCTGAAGGATGTTGTAAGCCAGTGTTAAGGTATTCACTTGAATAGAAGTGATAAATTTAAAGAGTTGCTGTGTTTTATGCCTTCCAGGATCATTTTGGGTGTCCTTAATATGCTGTAAAGTCCTTCCTTATTCCTGAGTGAAGACTGAGCCTCAAATGACAGTCAGTTGTCAGAACACCAGCACTGGTCTCTCATCCTGATATAGGGATCCTGCCTTCATATCCCATAGTAACTAAATATTTGTTAACTGTTGTGGGTTCTTCTTGCAGGGTTCAGACTAGGCAATGTAGTACATGCTGTGCAGGCGACTCAGCAGAGCATTCATGCCACTGACCTGGTGCCCCGTGTATGCCTAACGTTAGCCAACGTGAACCGTGTGATTTATTTCATCTGTGATACCATCCTCTGGGTGAGGAGCGTAGGGCTAGCCTCTGGCATTAACAAAGAAAAATGGCGAATGTGGGCGGCCCGCCATTACTACTATTCTCTCCTGCTGAGCCTGGCCAGGGATCTGTATGAAATTTCCTTGCAGATGGAAAAGATTGCACACAACAGAGCAAAGAGGGAGAAGTCACTGTCTCAAGATCCTCTTGGGTACAACGTGGCTGATGAGGAAACAGAGTGGCTCCAGTCCTTTCTCCTTCTCTTATTCCGCTCTCTGAAGAAGCATCCTCCCTTGTTCCTGGACACAGTGAAGAACTTCTGCGATATCTTGAACCCCTTGGACCAGTTGGGGATCTATAAGTCCAATCCTGGCCTTATTGGACTTGGAGGTCTTGTGTCTTCCATAGCAGGCATCATCATAGTGGCATATCCTCAGATGAGGCTGAAGATGCACTGAAGTGGTTTCAGACTGAAGAGACAGCATCCTTAGGATGGACATTTTTGTGAGCCACAGACCATGCTATACTGAGCATAGAGACTCGTTCACGGGAGCATTTCATGACCAGCGATGTGAGCAGAGGTGGGGCCAAGAATGGAGAACAGGAGTGCCTGAAAATTTGTGTTTTTTAGAGAGATGGAGTGACTTCTGCATTTCTGAGTATTTTCTTTTCATCTAACACTTAATCGAGCATCTGATATGCTCGTAGTGGGAGCTTACTATTTGCTGAGTAGGTGAAAATTGAAAAAGGCCCAAACAATTGAACATTAATATACAGTGACCTTTTGGTTGTGTGCCTCACTCACTACTGTAGGTCTGATATCCAGCCCTCTCTCAGACCTAGTAGAGGCCTCTCATTCCTCTGACCAGATACCAACCCCAGCTCTTGCCTCCCCCCACTTCTCCATAGAGGCCCATGCCAAGGCACAGGGGAGCTAGGCTTATGTCCTTTTATCCTGTCATTTCTTTGTCCGGAAGTAGAATCAGAAATGCATCAGGTCCCTTCATGGTGTAAATGATGACTGGGTGGTGCAGTGAGTAAGCAGAAATCAGAAGCACATGGAAAGGACTAGAGTACCCGTAATATGGGAGGTCACAACAGGTGCTTGTGGGTAGCCTGTGACAGGTGGATGAAACAGGTTAAAAAAACAGGCCAGCATCTCATTCCTCTCACTCCCAATCCATTGTTCTTTCCAAAATAGTTTGTTGCCTTCCTGATTGAGTGGAAGTGTGAGACTCCAGAATCCTGTGTGAAAAGCCTTTTTTTAGAACTTTGTTAGTGGTTTATATAAAAAAAACTATCTAGATTTAGCAACTAGATTTTTTATTTAAAGCCATATAACAGTTTGGGTACTTATACATTAATTTTCATCAAAATTCATGCAGTTAAGAAATTTCACGAATACTCTGAATGAAGGAGCATCACAATTTTCTGTGATAAATCAGGCTTCATATGTGTGGGGTGGTTGGGGGAGTGGAAAGAGCAATAAGGGGCTACTGAGAAGACCATTTATTCATGGTCCTCCTTCCCATCTTGGGTGTTGAGTTCTTATTTGTGATTGCAGATCCTCCAATTGGAGGGCAGTGATATAGAAAAATAGGATGTTGTCAGGTAGGAAGCCAATATCAGTCCTATCAGTAAAGCCATTTCACTTACCTGAAGGGAAATGAGAAGAGAAATGCCACTAAATAAATTTCCCGTAAATGTGAATGAGATTCTTAAGAAGTAGACTTAGGTCCTTGGCTCTCTTATTTTTAAAGTGATTAGTCAAGATAACGAGATTTGAGGAAACACTTGGGGAATTTTAAGAGGAATGAAAGCTGCTAGGTCAGGGCAAGTAAAAAGTTTTAAGCAATTAAATATTACTTTGTCCAGATCCTTTACTATCAAAGGTTAATTATGTCTAATAAATTTCTAGACAAAAGACACTCTTGTATCTGTGAATATATTCTGGGAATGAAGAAGGGCGATCCAGAGATGATCAGAGTATACACAGTTGGTAGAGAGAGCTCCAGGAAAAATAAGCTCTCGCCTGGAGGACCCAAGCTGAGGAAGATGATCAAGAAAGCTTTAGATCAGAACATCTGGGTTGAAAGAGACCTCTGGGATGATCTCATCCAGGAGACGGTCTTCTGTATTAACTCTGTCAGATGGTGCTTTGGCTTCTGTCTGGAGAAGCTGGCCTCAAATCTGTGGTGGCATGTTATGGTGGTGTCCATCTTGGTACTTTTGTCCTCTAACTTAGGGTGGGTGATGAGTTTGGATAATACCCTTCTGGAATTTGAAAACCTTAATGGTACCCTGGTACATCCTTCCCTGTGCATCTTTCTTGTTTCTAACTACTTCCCCACTCCGAGCCTCCGCATTCATGAGGGGTTCTAAAAACTGAAGACATTCCTAATAGATGTACAGGCCAGTACATTCACAACTGAATATTGTTCCCTGAGAATTTATCCAACAACAGATGTTTGAATGCCATGCTTAGCTCTGGGATCTACTTTATACAGGAGGACCAAGGTCTCTATGCTCATGTGGAAAGGTAAAGGGGTGAGGGGGGTGCGGTGGGGTGGGGAGGAGGAGGAAAGAAGATAACTGTCCTTCAAGCTGAGGCTGGAAGACAGACTGCACCCAGGGGACCGCCCTAGGCCCTTTCACCACTCCTCACCTCTCACCCACATTCCAGACTCCCAGCCAAAGCTGCCAAAGGGTCAGCTTTGTCAACAGAGCTTTCCGGCACAGAGCCCTATACACTCTCTGGCCCAGAGCCGTTACTCCAAAGGCTTGGAACCGCCCTCTGGCCCAATTCTCCAGACACAGCCTCATGGATAATTTGTCCTGAATCCTGAAGTGAGGGCAGAGTCTCCTTTTTCAGGTGCTGCCTTTCCTCTCCATTACTGTCTTATATTTTATTTTTTTAATTTTATTTTTTAAGTGGATGATTTTTTTTTAAGATTTTATTTACTTGAGAGAGAGAGAGAGAGCATAAGCACAGAGCAGGAGAGGGAGAAGCAGACTCCCCACTGAGCAGCGAGCCCCTTGTGGGGTTTGATCCCAGGACTGTAGGATCAGGACCTGAGCTGGAGGCAGACGCTTAACCAGGCGAGCCACCCAGGTGCCCCACTGTCTTGTATTTTAAAAAGTCTGAGTTGGATCAGTATTAAATATATCATATATTTAGAACTCCTTTTGGAGGCTCCCTGCTTAACCCTCCTCCCTTTTTCTGACCTCTCATTCCCTGCCTTATTCTATCACAGATACAGACTTGATTACCAAGGATCTATGAGAAATCTTCCCACCTTCTGCCTCTTTCTCTTATTGCCCACAGCATACAATTTAGAGAGTCAGCAATAGAGGTTATTCTACCAATAACAAGGAAAATAAGTTTTGTCCCCTCATTATCCATTTTATTGTTACTAATAAAGCCCCAGCATGGAGCTTGAGCCCTCGACCCTGAGATCAAGAATTGCATGCTCTACAACTGAGCCAGCCTGGCACGCCCCATCCCCATTATCCATTTTATTTCTAATTTTTATTCACCTTTAAGCTTTTATTTATTTATTTGTGAAATAGAGAGATCAAGAGAGAGCATGAACTGGGGAGGTGAGGGGAGGAGCAGAGAGAGGGAGAAACAGACTTCCCATTGAGCAGGGAGCCCCATGTGGGGCTCCATCCCAGGACCCTGGGATCATAACCAGACCCTTAGCTGACTGAGTCATCAGGTGCCCCATTATCCATTTTAAAAAGCCCTTCTCAGATAATCTGAAAACTATGGCTTATACCACAGTCCTCTATCATCTTTGAAGCCAGGAACTGGAACTCAGGCTCTTGCCTGATTTGTTGCTAAGGAAGGGATGAGAAGTAATAGTTCTTGGTTGTCTAGATGCTATTGATCAGTAAGAGGATCCTGGTCAACACTAACACTTTTGCAGACTCCGCAAAATCCAGTTGGCTCTCCACAGCATATTCTGGTGGCACCTTAGACCAGGTAGAGTTCAATAAACTTCCTTGAAATCTAGTAATTCTAGAGGTTGAAATTCCCTGCTCAAAGGCTAGATTGTCAAGGAGTCAACCCCTAGCTCTTGTCCTTTTCTTCACTGAGAGCAATTTATCTCTCTCCTTTTAAGATTTTATTTATTTATTTGAGGGAGCATGCATGAGAGAGCATGCATCTGCGCACACACACAAGTGGAAAAGGAGCAAAGGGAGGAGGAGAGAGAGAAGCAATCTCCTTGCTGAGCAGGGAGCCCAGTGTGGGGCTTGATCCCAGGACCCTGAGATCATGACCTGAGCCAAAGACAGCTGCTTAACCAACTGAGCCACCCAGACACCCCGAGAGTAATTTATCTTAGTAACCAAAGAGTAGTAAGTACATTCAAGTGAACTTCCTGTGTGGGTTTAAATCTTACTGTTCAAAATTTGCTCTTAATAGTAAATAGTAAGGATGAGGAAAATGGGTTGAAAACTCTTACAGGAGACTCTGTGAAAAAGGAGCCAAGGATTATAGAACTTTAGAATTTATGAGTTTAATGACATTTAATCCCAACACCTTCCTTCTGGAAGAAGGAAGAACTGGGGCCAGAAACATGTTACAGAAGGGATATTTCGGGAACCTGGGTGGCTCAGTGGTTGAGCATCTGCCTTCAGCTCAGATCATGATCCCAGGGTCCTGGGATCGAGTCCCACATCGGGCTCCCCACAGGGAGCCTGTTTCTCCCTCTGCCTAGGTCTCTGCCTCTCTGTGTGTGTCTCTCATGAATAAATAAATAAGATATTAGAAAAAAAACCCACAGATATTTCATGGCTCTGGAATAAGAACCCTCCTGGAGCTGCATCTCTGTCAATTCCGCGACCCTCTTCCTCCTAGTTGGCTAAATCTCCTTACAGAGGTTGGGATATATGTTCAGGGGACCCTGGCTCAAAAAAAACCATGACAACTGGCTGACCCCATGTCCTCTTCCTCCCTGCCCTCCTCTAGCTGGAAGGTGTTAGTAGCATTGCCCAAGGCTTCCCTGGATCAGCTAGAATTGTCTCTGCTGGGGGAGACGCTCAGCAACCTGGGCTCTGAGACAGACAGCATCAGCTAGTGTGAGTGCGGGGGTCCAGAAACATCTGCCTTCCCTGGTTTGTTTCTGAGAGGTAAAGGGAAGAAGCTGATGGTGGGGGTCTCCTGAGAACGTCCCTGAAGATGAAGAGGCCTACAAAGAATCCACTGAGAGAGATCATTCAAGGTGAATGACCAAGAGTGTAGGGTAGATATGCTGGGGCACTAGCTTTTCCAGATCACAGCTGAAATAGCTGGTTTTAAGTGACTAGTTGCTTCCTCACTGAGCATTCAGGGAATGGTGGCAGTTAGGGTTGCTTAAAAAGAGAGGAGTTAATGCAGAACTTTTTCATCAGAAAAGACTAAACTTGAAACTTACTCTTTTAGTCTCGTGGATCTTCTTCTGGGAGCCCCTTACCTCCATATAAAACCTCTTCTCTCTTACCCTTATTTGTCATTTCTTACCCCAAACCCTTATAAGAAACATCAATCTTGACAAGTAGGCTGTGGGGCAGCTCCTCCCAGTGGGGCCCTAGGGAGTGGCCGCCTGTCTGTGACACTTACCCTCCAACCTGATGTCTTCTGTTGAGGGAGCTGGAGCTCCCAGCAGCCTGGGCCCAGTTGGAGCTAGGGGACTGATCCTACAGGCCTCCAGCTGAGGGCTTTCTGATGGACCTGCAACTCTGCCTTGCAGCTTGAAGAGCTACGATGGCAGTCAACAAGGGCCCCACCTTGCCGGATGGAGATCTCCCTGTAAGTAGCTTGGGCTTATATGAGAAGTGGGGGGACCACTGAGCAGGGGAGGAAGGAGCCGGAAAAGAGGTTCAGGGGACTCAGAACAAATTCTGTCTAGATTGTGTCCCTCTTTTGTTGACCATCATGTCTTCATTACTCTTGCCCTCAGTACCTTTGGTAGGGGGGCTCTTAGAGGATCAGGGGGAGTGCCTACGGAAAACTGAGCTCCTCAGAGGAAAAGAACAGAAATATTGGCTGAGGGTAAGGAGAGGAAGGGAGCTACTGCGTTCTGAGCGCTGATGCAAAGGCCCGTGCTTTACTCACCCAGGCGGGATATAGATTCAAATGCCGAGCCACTGCCTTCTGTAATTCCAGGGTGTCATGCATGTTCTAGAATATGTGAATGCACCTCTTTGAGTTATGCGGTGCGCGGCCTGAGCTGTATGTTGGAGGAGCATTGCTTCCGGGGTTCTGTGTGCAGCCTGACTTTCACTGTGACTTGGAGCAGTCTGAGACTTTGAAGTGTACCTGATGCCTCCAGGCCAGGCCTCGGATTTAGGCACAGTTCAGGTAGTTGGTGAAACTTTAAAAACTGTGAACCTATATAACACCCATCTTGTCCCAAGTTAGGCTTTAGCTAGCGTTTGCACTCAGAATCACCATTAGGCTTTATATTAAATCATAGAGCAGGGACGCCTGGGTGGCTCAGTGGTTGGGCGTCTGCCTTTGGCTCAGGGCATGATCTCAGGGTCCCAGGATTGAGTCCCACATCAGGCCCCTTGCAGGGAACCTGCTTCTCCCTCTGCCTGTGTCTCTCTGTGTGTCTCTCATGAATAAATGAATGAAATCTTTGAAATCAATCAATCAATCATAGAGCACAGAAGCATAAAATGAACCAGTGCATAGTTAATCCAGCCTAACAGTGGGTGGTTTATTCCCTTCTCAGGACCTCTCTCTATCCCTCTTTGGCTTTGCCTACAACAACCCCAGAAGGCTCTGTCCAAATGTTAAAATATACTCTTATTTACAGTCATAATCTTTTTCTAGTTCAAATTTCAAACTTGGCTGCAAAATGAGAGTGAAAATATTGTAACCTGTTGTTACAAGTCTCCTTCATGGGTCTCTGAACTCAACCTACAAATAGAAGAGGCTAGGTCCTTGACCCCAGAGGACCTGTTCAAACTGCAGAGAGAGCTCCAGCGTCTAAGTCAGGACCCGGGGCACTTCCTCCTTTTTACTTTTCATGTGGAGAATCCTTAGCACTCTTGAGTGGACAGAAGACTATTAACACCCTACACTAGCTTCAACAGCCATTAATCCCATGGCCAGTCTTTTGGCCCTTGAAGCACTTGAAGCACTTGAAACATAGTCTGAGTGCTCTATGTTTAAGAAAGGCAGCACTAAGCTGTAGCATATCCAGAGGGGACTACCAGACCAGGGCAGTAAGCTAAGTTAGGATCTTAAGCTAGTTAGCACCCGAGAGGGATCACTGAAGGCAGACATACTGCCTTCAAATATGTGGAAGGCCATGCATGGTGAAATAGATTTTCCCATGAATGATGAAATCGATTTGCTCAGTGTTGCTCCAGAGGGCAGAGGGCAGAGGGCAGAGCAGCGGGTAAGGGCGCTTTGCGCTCAGTGGTGCAGTCCAACAAGGGCCACAGGCCACTCTATGAGGTCCATCTAAGGAGGCATCTAAATACAAGCCTGCCTGAGAGACTATGGGAAGCCCTTTTGCTACAGAGGCTCCTGGAGGCCCAAACATCTGTGATTCTGTGCTGTTGGGCAGATCTAAACTTACCCCACCACCACCACCCCGGGTGCAGTCCTGATTGACTTATTCAGCCAGCGTCACTGTACAGGCTCTAGGCTAGACAGTGGGGACCCAGTGATGACAGTCCCCTGGGAGAGAGATGAGTACACACACAATCCCAGCACAGCACCATGTGAGGAATGTAGAGACGAGCCAGGGAAGGAGTGATGGCTGCTGATGTGAGCGTGGAGGGGTGGGAGGCTTCAGAGCAGCAGAGGCTCCAGCTGTGTCTTGAGGGAGTGGCATTCTGCCAGATAGAAAGGAGTATGGGAGGGAAGGGGGAGCACGCACGGGCAGGCGAACAGCATCCGCAGGCCGAGAGGCTGTGTTCCAGCAGCTCCCCAGAGCTTGGACCGAGCCAGGAGAGTGGCAGGCTGGCTCTGGTTTTTCCTGTTGGCCATCCAGAAACCTCGGTGGCCTGCCCCCTCCCCACCCAGGTCACTGGGACACAGGCTTGCCTCATCAGTGGGCTGCATGACCCAGGGCCACCTCCCCGAGAGGCAGGAGTGTGCAGGGGAGCACCATGATTGTCTTCCTTCCTTCTGGCACTAGGAGCAGGAAAACGTGTTGCAGCGGGTCCTGCAGCTGCCAGTGGTGAGCGGCACCTGTGAGTGCTTCCAGAAGACCTACACCAGCACCAAGGAAGCCTACCCACTAGTGGCCTCTGTATGCAATGCCTACGAGAAGGGCGTGCAGGGCGCCAGCAGCCTGGCGGCCTGGAGCATGGAGCCGGTGGTCCGCAGGCTGTCCACCCAGTGTGAGTCCTCGTGGCACTTGCAGGCTGCCACCCATCATTCTCTCACTGTCTGATAGCTTGCTTGTCTGTCTGCCAATATTTCTGTGCACCTTTTTGCCTGTCTGACTGCCTTTCTAACCACCTACATCCCATTACATGATCTTATCTACAGATACAGGTGATACAGTTACAGATGGCTGTAGGTATAGGTACGGATGTAGACATACATCTCTCTTCATCTGTAGATCTGGCCATCTACAGCCCAGTCGTCATTTTCCTGGGATGACAGTGACAGGCCAAAGAATTGGCAGGGGAAGGGATGGGCAGAGCTGTGTGGGCAGTGGTGGGAGTGGGGCTCATGGTAGAGCAGATATGCACTTTGGCCCCAAATCGGGCAGCAGCAGTAGGAACTAGCAGAGTCTGACACAGAAGCAGGGGCAGCAGACACTAGGTCTGGCCCAGCAGAGCCTTGAGGTGGCAGAGTGGCTGGGGGATGGCTCAGAGGGGGATGGGAAGACCTCTGGGCCCAGCAGCAGAGAGGTAGCAGCCAGGGTCCTGTCCATGCGAGCCCTACTACCTGACCCAGCCCAATTCAAATTGTTCTGCCCCATTTGAAAATATGGTCTCCAAAGAAAGGCTCTTTTGTTATTATTTTTTTTAATTCCAGTACAGTTAACATATGGTGTTATGCTAATTTCAGGCATGCAATATAGTGATTCAGCAATTCATCATGCAGTGCTCATCATGACAAGTGCCTCCCTCTTGACAGGGCTGAGGGAAATTCCAGTAGCACCAAGAAATCTAGAACCTTCTATCATCCTGATTAGAGAACTATGGGTATCTGAGGATTCCACCCTGGGCTAGCCTCCCTGCCTACAAACTCGTTAAATAATTTTTCTGGGTCTCATTTTGTCCAATCAGAAGGTGGCCCATGTCATCTGGGCTCTTCTTTTGCTTGAGAATTTTGGGAAGAAAGGTAAGCTATCTGGAGAGAGAATATATGAAAAAAAAAATATAGAGAACTAATCTCCATGTTCATGACTGCAAAGCTCTGTCTTCAGCAGCCCTTGGGCAGTAGCTCCTAGAAGCATCTGCATCCTCTGGCACTTGCTCCCCTCTCTGGGGGAGCTCCTTTCTCTTTCCTGTGACCCTGTTCCCATTTTTGATCATCTTACTCCTTGAGGGTAGAAGGAAGGACGTGGATAGTCTGGGGCCTGGGGCCGGCTGCAGCTCAGACCTGGTCACCCCTAGGACTAAGCAGTGCCGGCCCTACCCCCACAAAGCCCACCCAAAGGCCCTGCTGCCCCTCCTCTCACACCTTCACTCCCCTTGTCCTTCATGCCTACCCAGACCTTACCCAGAGAGGGGAGAGACCAGTATGTGCTGGTGAGTCACAGAGTCCCTGCTGCTTCCTCCTCACCCCAACCCTGCGAGGTAGGCACCACTAGTCCACATTTAACAAATGGGGAGCAGGTTGACACTTGCCCAGAGCTGCAGTCTGCGGGTGCATGCTCAGGGCTTTGAGATCTGCCTGACTCCAGAGCTCCTACACAGAGGGAAGACATGGGCCCAACCTCTAGGAGTCACGGAGGATGGGGGCTAAAGGTGCCGGGAGAGGGGGGTGGAGCTCAGGTTCCAAGATGCTTTGGAAGCAGCAGGGCTGGGGGGTTTTGAGGGCTCCGAGATGCCTTCTTTGGCACACTGCCAGGTCCTCACGGCTCACCCCACTGTGGCCCTTCACTTCTAGTCACAGCTGCCAATGAGCTGGCCTGCCGTGGCCTAGACCACCTAGAGGAAAAGATCCCAGCCCTCCAGTACCCTCCTGAGAAGGTGAGCCCCTTCCCCGTCTCTAGTGTCTCTAGTGTGCCGGTACTCTGGGAGGGAAGGGCACAGGGCTACGACTACCAGTCTTTCATTTCAATGCAAGTGCCATCCAAGTTTGTGGGTGGCTGCCTGCCCCTAAGGCCAAACAGTGGGCTTGTTCCTCTCCCTGTGGTGCCAAATGAGGGCAGGCTTTCTGGAAAGCAGGAACGGCCTAGGGGCAAACTCAAACAGGGACTTGCGGTGGGTCCCACTGCTTCTGATGCCACCATTCCCCCTCCCCCATCCCAGGATACTCAGTGGGTCTGCCCTGGGCCACTTGGTAACTATAGTCACCTAAGATTGTGAGCTGTACTCATCAGATCTTGTGCAGTCCCGCGTCCTCAAAATCAACCCTTTATGGACCATGAGACTGAAAAAATCACTTTACCTAGCTATATATTCATTGGGCATCTAGTAACTAAGGGCCATATCAGGTGCTTTTGGGGAATTACTGACCAACTATCTCCTCATCCCACAAACATTTACTGAGCCCTACCCTGTGCCAGGGGCCATGATGCGATTTATGGGGCCTTCCCAATTTAATCTTCTCTTGTCAACCCTCTGGGACAGAGTGAGTATCCTCATTTTACAGATGAGAAAACCAGTGATTTCTCCCTGGCCACACAGCCTTAAGTGGAGGCCACATGAGAGCAGGTGTGTTGGCTCAGAGGCCTGTGCTCTTCACATGTTTCCAGATGAAGGGCATCTTTGTCACAAAAGAGCTTCCAGATGAATAGGAGGGAAAGAGAAATTATTCCAATATGGAGCTGGTAGGAAGATCAGCCACATATTTGAATCAGTCTAAACGAAGATGGGGATGTGTGTTCTGAGGGATGGACAGACAAGACATTCAAGGAATTTGAGAGTGAAGTTGCCTTATGTGCATGATAATATCAACGCCGGTGTCACCAAGGGGGTTCAGTTAGCTAGGATCTTGACAGGCCGAAGTGGAGCGTGAAGAAGCTGGAGATTCATGCCCAGGGACGACTGGAGCCCTTTCCCTTTAAAGCCCAGCTTAACCAAGGAGCCTGGATATTGGTGCCACTCCACTGGGCCTGTATTTTATTTTTTAAGTAAGCTCTATGCCCAATGTAGGGCTTGAACTCACGACTCCGAGAGCAAGGTTACCTGCTCTACCAACTAAGTCAGCCAGATACTCCCCACCTCGGCCTTTAGGTGAGACCTTCCTGGACGCTGGGCTCAGGGCTACCAGACCCACAGGCCTGACTCCCCTCCCCATTTCCCCCAGATTGCCTCTGAGCTGAAGGACACCATCTCTACTCGCCTTCGCAGTGCCAGGAATAGCATCAGTGTGCCCATCGCCAGCACTTCGGACAAGGTCCTAGGGGCCGCTCTGGCCAGCTGTGAGCTCGCCTGGGGGGTAGCCAAAGACACTGCTGAGTATGCTGCCAACACCCGGGCGGGCCGGCTGGCCTCTGGAGGGGCCGACTTGGCCCTGGGTGGTGTTGAGAAGGTGGTAGAGTTCCTCCTCCCTTCAGCCAAGGAAGACTCAGGTATCTACTGCTGGGGGGCTGGCAGACCTGCCCTGGGAAGGGAATTGACTGCCCACGCTGCCTGGGAATTAGCAAGAGGCAGCCAGGGTGCACCCGGCCACTACTCTGGAACAGGGAAGGCCCAGCAAGATTTCCAGATGGATCTATCCTAAGTTAGCCTCCTCTCTCCATTTGTAAGTGGGGAAAGTGAGTGACCCAAGTGGTGGACCTAGGGTGACCTCTTTCCAACCCTAGACACAGCCCAGCTCCTCCAGCCCCTCTCTCTCTGATCAGCTTTCCTTTCTTTCCCCCTAAATCTCACCCAGCCCCTGCTCCAGGACACCAGCAGACCCAGAAGCCCCCCAAAGCCAAGCCGAGCCTTGTGCACAGGGTTGGGGCCCTGGCCAACATCCTCTCTCGACACACCTTCCAGACCACAGCCCGGGCACTGAAGCAGGGCCAGGCCCTGGCCATGTGGATCCCAGGCGTGGCACCCCTGGTGAGTGTCTGCCCTGAGTTCTGGCTGACCCCCCAGTCTGTGTCTCTCTCATCCCTCCTCCAGCTTGGGCTGGGGCTTTTGGTCTAAGGACAAGAGGCCTTATGGGGACCGAAGGCCAGTCTTCTGGGCTTTAGGAGAGAGAAAGGACAGGACGTGAGCCAAGGGCAAGCCACCCACTTCTGTCTCTCTCCCTCTCCCTCTGAGTCCCACCCCCCAGCATTCATCCTGGCAAAGGGGTTTCTTGCCATGGGCTCTCTCCCACCTATGAGGGAGCAGAGACCCCCAGCTGCTATCCAGGCACTGGGGAGTGTCACCTGTAAATAGGCAAGGCCCCAAACCCCTTCTCTTGGGGAGAGAGTGCTGGCGGGGCTGCATCCCTGACTGACCTCAGGTTTTAAAAATTTCTCTTCTAGAAGCGTCTAATTTGCATCCTACTTGCACCTAAAGTAAAGCTGCCTTTTCTAGACCTGGGCAGGGCTAACCCCCCACCATATCCCACTCCCCACTGTGTATTTTAGCAGATATAGACTGGATTTTTTTTATAAGGACCTTTAAGTAAGAAACTAAGGCCAAAATAAAGGAAATAAAAATTGAAAATTAAAGCATAAAGGTCAGCAAACAAAACAACCACTTCTCAGCCATCATTTGGGTGACACTTTTATTTATTTTTAAGATTTTATTTATTTGATTGAGAGAGAGCACAAGTGGGGTGTGTGGCAGGCAGACGGAGAGGGAGAAGCAGGCTCCCCACTGAGCAGAGAGCCCTATGTGGGGCTCCATCCCAGGACCCCAGGATCATGAGCTGAAGGCAGACACTTAACCAACTGAGCCACTGAGGCGCCCCTGGGTGACACTTTAAAAAGCATCATCAGGACTGACTCATTCACTCAAATGCTTGCTGAAAACCTACTAGGAGTCAGGTTCTGTGGCTCCAGTAGGGATACAGGAGTATCACTGTCCCGTGTGTTGGGGATCAGTTACCTACCAGTGGGGGCCGCAACTAACCCTTGTCCCAGCCTTATGTGTAGTCAGGAGGGCCTTCTGTACCATGCAACCTCAGGCACCCTATTCACATAGAACTTAATGTTGTCCCCTGAAGTTCTGTGGTGAAGACACCCTGTTTGTAGAGCTCCCTGGGATGAGGAATGAGCCAAGCTCTGCCTCAAGGGGACACTAGCCCACCTGCCCAGGTCTGTTTTCGCCCATGGGATACTGGAGTCCTCTTGATTTTTTTTCACTCTTTAAAGATCTCCAAGGAGTATCTACTAAAGTTTAACACACCTACCCTCCAAGACTCAGCAATTCAACCCAACAGAAATGAGAGCTTCTGTTCCCCAAAAGACAGGTCAATATGTTCCTATCAGTCTTTATCCTTCACCAAGAACTGAAAACAAAACAACACCAAGAGCAGAGTGGGTAAATTGTGGTAGATATACATGATATATGACCCAGAAGTGAAAAAGAAGGGGCTATTTAGAGGCACAATATCACAGATGAGTCTCACAACATCATGTTGAACAAAAGAAGTTTCTCATGAAAGGAGACACATCGCAATAGTCCATTTATATGGATTTCAGAAACAGGAAAAACCAGTGCATGGTGGCAGAGGTCAACATGTGGTCCCTCTTGGAGGGGGTTACTGACTGGGAGGGGGGCAACCACATGGCAGATTTTGGGGGTGTTGAAAATCACCTATATCTTGTCCTGTGGTAGTTACAGAAATGTGTGCTTCTAAAAGTTCACAGAGCTACCCACTAATGATGTGTGTGCTCTAGGTATGCAAGTTATCACTTGAGGACAGGTTTTATTATTTTTTAAATATATTTTTTAAGGATTTTATTTATCCATGAGAGACAGAGAGGCAGAGACACAAGCAGAGAGAGAAGCAGGCTCCATGCAGGGAGCCTGATGTGGGACTCGATCTCGGGACTCCAGGATCACGCCCTGGGCCAAAGGCAGCGCTAAACCGCTGAGCCACCCAGGCATCCCTCGATAGGTTTTAGACACAGCCTGCTGGGGCCAGGCCCTGGGGGTGAGGGAATTTGCCCTCTGGAGCTGCCTGGCAGGTGCCGTGAAGCCAACAGCCTGTCTGGCCTTCTCCCCACCACCCCCAGAGCAGTCTGGCCCAGTGGGGCGCATCGGTAGCCATGCAGGTGGTGCCCCGGCGGCAGAGTGAGGTGCGGGTGCCCTGGCTGCACAACCTCACTGCCTCCCAGGAGGAGGATCACAATGACCAGACAGACACCGAGGGAGAGGAGACAGAGGAGGAGAAATCAGACACCGAGGAGAACAAGCTCAGTGAGGTAAGGGAGCAAGTAGAAGCCCAGTGGGGAGGTGGCCACCTCGAGGTCCCACAGGCCACTGAGGGGATGTGAAGCAGAGGCAATGGATGAAACAAGTCTCTGCCCCCAGGCCCAGAGACATCGTGCAGGCCTGCTGCGCTGTTCACTGTTCTCTCAGCAGACCCTCCCAGCAGCCTCACCAAGTAGGCAGGGCAGAGACGGTCTTTCCCATTTTGCAGATGAAGAAGCAGGTCCAGAGAGGGGAAGTGACCTGCCCAAGGCCACACAGCTGGAAGAAATTGGCAGACAGTTTTTTTTGATTAGGTGTCCAAGTTCTTTCCCTCCACTCGGGGGGGTGGGGGGAGGTGGAGGGATCAGGGCCATGGGTGGGGCTGCAGGAGGTGCTGACCTAGCTCTGGCCCCCAGGTAGCAGCCCTGCCCAGCCCACAAGGCCTCCTGGGCAGTGTGGCCCACACGCTGCAGAAGGCCGTCCAGAGCACCATCTCAGCCGTGACATGGGCACCTGCGGCCGTGCTGGGCTCAGCAGCGAGGATGCTACACCTCGCCCCAGCCCGTGCTGTCTCCTCCACCAAAGGGAGGGCCATGTCCCTGTCAGACGCCCTGAAGGGCGTCACTGACAACGTGGTGGACACAGTCGTGCACTATGTCCCGGTGAGTCCCACCCCAGGGTCCGGGGAAGGACAGGTAAAGCAGATTTGACTGAAGGGGCTGCAGCAGTCCTGCCTTCCCCAAACTCCTTGGCGGGCTCCGGTCCTCAGAGCTCCAGAAACATTTTGACAAACTGCACCCTTGACGAAGGGGGCCCTTTGCTAGCCCGGCAGAGAGTGTAGAGACCCTGGCCCTGGCCTGAGACCTTTCCCTCACATCCTCCCTTCTGACCCTCAGTCTGGGGGTTCCCAGTGGCCCAGCCATCCCCCCCCCAGGGGGTTTGCATGCTGCTCCCTGCTGCCCATCTCGATAGTATCACCTATAACCAACAGGAAAAACCCGAGAGACACCAATACTGTCTCTTTTGGGGGTCCCCAGGCCCCTTCCCAGAGCAAGTTTTGGGTTGTGCAGGCTCCAGGGGGGCCAGGGACACACCAGACCCCTCAGAGCAAGGGTTGGGGGCAGAAATTACTCAACACCTCCAGAAGCATGCAGGGCTCTTGGCTGCCAGCCTGTTCACCTTGGGCTCCCAACAGGGCCCGGCATGGGCCCCCTGACCCAGACAGGGACAGGGTGTGGGCTGTGCTTAGGCCCAAGGGGGCGGGGCTGTGTGGGAAAGCCGCTGACCTTCCAGGAGGGAGACCCGAGGGGTCCAGACACTCTGGGAGGGGGGCTGCCGGCCTCGCCTTAGGGGTCTGGGCCGCGGAGACCACCGGAGAGGGCAAGCCGTCCCGGTCTCCCCTGCGCCGCCCCGGTCCCACCCCAGGCGGTGCGCTCCGGAGGGCCGCTCCCGGGAGGCGCGCGCGCGACGGTCCCTGAGAAAGGCGGGCGGGAGGCGCGGGGCCGGGTGCAGGCCGGGGACCCTAACGCGGCCGCCGCGCCCTCAGCTCCCCAGGCTGTCGCTGATGGAGCCCGAGAGCGAATTCCGGGACATCGAGGAGGCCGGGCGCCGGGAGGCGGAGCGCAGGGCGTCTGGGGCGCCGGAGCCCACGCCGCGCCCCCCGCAGCCCCGCGGCGGCCCGCGGCCCGCGCGCAGCCCCGGGGCGCCCCCCGGCCCGGGACCCGAGGACAGGCTGGACGCGCCCGCCGCGCCGCGCCCCGCCTTCCCGGCGGCGGCCCGCGAGAAGCCCACGCGCAGGGTCAGCGACAGCTTCTTCCGGCCGAGCGTCATGGAGCCCATCCTGGGCCGCGCGCAGTACAGCCAGCTGCGCAAGAAGAGCTGAGCCGCGCGCCGCCGCGCCCCGGAGCTGCCGAGGCGCGCGGCGTCCCGGCCCCGCCTAAGGGCTTCGCGGTCACAACCTGTGTTTAAGAAGCATCCGAGCAGGGCTTGCTTTGACTCCACGCTTGGCGGCTTTGTGTTTTGTTCTGTTCTGTGTTGTAAACGAAGGGATTACTTGTCTGACTTGATCTCTCACCTCTTTAACCAAAGTTGCGGCCAAATGACATTTGACAATTTCCAAAATTAAGCAGGAGTCTCTGACGTGTGTATAAAGGCCTGAGCTCGGGGATTCCTCTGAGTATTCCTCCAGGCTCCTGCTTCGAAGGGAGCGTCGATTAGGTGCAAAAGCGGTTGTATGTTCATATTAAAGACGCCCCCGCGCCCCGCTTACTGAGCGCGCGGGACTCCGCAGGGTGAGCCCCGGCCTGAGCTCTGCAGCGCCACCTCCTGGCTCACGGCCACACTGCCACTCGCATCCTGCCCGCCTTGCCGCCGCGCATTCACTCATCCACCGCCCTTTGAAGGCGGGCGCCCCCCGCTGCCGGGGGACGGCAAACGGCGACTACCTAGACCATACGTGTGGACGCTAGTAGTCACAATTCATTCCAAGCCCTATTTCTGAAAATTTCAATATTTGGTAAACCTAGGGAATGCGTATATATATTTTAATTCAAATATTGCAAAAGGGTGTGTGTCCTCTCTGACCCATTCCCCTTCACAAAAACCACCGCGCTGCCAGTCTCTGGTGTATCCTGGAGGTCCAGGCCGCGCATGTGAAACCCATGTGCGGAGCCCCGTTCCCCCCCTCCCCGCCCCCCGTTTTGCCCACACAGCTGCGGGATGATATCCTGCTTTCTTGATTGAACAATACATCTTAGAGATCTTTTTGTTTCAGCACCATAAATCCTCCTTGCTCTGTTTAATGGCCATGTAGTAAGTGTTTCATGATGTAGATGTGCTATCCGTGGTTTCCTATTGATGGATTTTTAGGTTGTTTCCTTTTTTTTTTTTCTTTTGGTCCTGCAAACAGTGCCTCAATAAATGTCTGCATATAAAATGCTTTGTGTAGATATATCTATAGGAGAAATTTATAACTTGGAACCATGGCATGCTGGGTGAAAGAGTATGTGCATTTTAACTATTATCAGATAATAGCAAGTATCCTTAAACCAAATTCAGTTTTCCTTGTTACTGTCATCTGCAGCTACACAGATAATTCCTACCTCTCCGTCAGACCCGTGAGCACCCTCTTGGCCCCCACTCTGTTGCACACCAGAAAGCCCAGCTTTTTGAAACTGAGTCTGGGTCCTGGCAGATCTTTGGTGTAATGAGTCCTTGGCCTTGATGCTTGGTTTTGGAATCTGAAGATGCCCAGGATGGGGAGATGGAAGTGCCGGTGGACATGCACCTGTGGACATGACCAGGACTCTGAGCTACCTTGGGCACTCCACCCCCACCTCTACAATCCACACCACTCCCAGCAGTTCCCTGAGGAGGGAGTATAATCTGGCGAGAGGGGCCCTTATAAGCCAATATGGCAGGGGCTATAAAGATCGAGTCCAGCCTAGCCCTGGCAGTGCTCCCGTGGGCAGCTGCTGGTGCAGTGACCTCAGGCCTCAGTGTGCAGACAGGAACACCCAGCTGTTCTGGACTCACCTGTCCATGCTGCTTTCTTCCTGGAGCTTCAGAAACCACACTCCTGACTGTCCACTCTTCCATTGTCCTGTGGCTCTTCCTTCTAGACCATACTCCAGTTGGCACAAAAACTGCCCTCTCAGCAGCCCAGAAGAACTGGGGCCTTGACAGGACAGTAGCAATCAACATACCTGCTGGCCAGGCCCATACCCCCCACCCCCACCCCTCAGATGTTGGGGGCCAGTGTATGGGATAGGACAGCGCAGGAAACAGTTTAAGTTGTAAAAGATTCTTTTTACCGTTAGAAACCTCTTGATTAGGTAGCAAAGTGCTCTGAGCCTGGACCTTGGGGCTTCTGAATACTTTTTGGAGAGAAATGAGAGCAAAATACCTCCTCTAAATGATAGAAATGTACTTCATTGTCTGGTGTGAGACTCTTCACTGTTCCTAGACACATCACTTTGGCAAGTCTCCTTGCTCATGTGAATGTGAAGGCTCATCCACACTCATCTTTGGTAGCTCATGACCTCAGGAAGACCTCCACTTCACACTGGGATGTCAAGGCCCCTTTCCTTATCCTCTCTCTTCTAGTCCAGCTCCTGAAATGCACCTCCAACTTAATCACAGCTTTCAGAGATGGAAAAATAACAATTACAGCCCATAAAATACCTTTATATGCACAGTTATTTACCACTTTTTTCTTTCATAATTATTTAGGATCTTAGTATCCAAAGGACTTCTTGACTGGAGACAGCACTATGACTTGCTCACCGTATGAAGCATAATTTTCCTGAACATTTAAATACTTCATATTTAGTCAAATATTACAAAATGCATAAATCAAATTATTGAAAATACTGAAATGTTGATTACAAACAAATAAGTCAAATTCTCTTAAACATTCCTGTAAGGCCTGAGTCCATGGAAACTTCCACACGACTCATCAGCACCTGACTATAGTTAGCAGGCGTCCAGAGATTCTCCTGTCTGCAGAGGGGCAACTAAACCTGCACGTACTGCTGGGTGGACCCTTGTCCTACCTACCACTCAATGGGACACACAGAACGTGAGCGGTACTGTTAGAACGTCCTGTGTGGCATCTCCATTCTCACCCTGGCCCTGCCCCCAGGAACTATAATCTGGAACTTTGTGTTTATTATGCCTTTTGCTTTTCTTTATAGATTCCTTTCCTGTGCATATACGTCATTCCAATGCTATTTCGTTTTGCAGGCTTTGCATTTTAAGTGGAATTTGATGTATTCGTCTGAGACTTGCTTTTGTTTCACTCTAAATGAAGTTCCTGCCAGTCAATCATGTTCACTAGAGATTTTTTTAAATACAAATATTGCCATAATCTGATTGTATCCCCCCCAAAGTCATATATTGAAATCTTACCCCCTCCCAAAGATGATAGTATTAGGAAGTGGGTGGGACCTTTGGGAGGTGATAAGGTCATGAGGACTCCATAGGATTAGTGTCTTTATAAAAGAGGCCTCAGGGCAGCCCCGGGTGGGTCAGCGGTTTAGCGCTGCCTTCAGCCCAGGGCATGATCCTGGAGACCCGGAATCGAGTCCCATGTCAGGCTCCCTGCATGGAGCCTGCTTCTCCCTCTGCCTGTGTCTCTGCCTCTCTCTCTCTCCCCCCCCACCCCCGGTGTCTCTCACGAATGAATAAAATCTAAAGAAAAAAAAAAAAGAGGCCCCCGAGAGGTCCCTTGCCTCTTCCACCATGTGAGGACCCAGCAAGAAACAACAGCTACAAATCAAGAAGAGGGCCACTACCAGAATGTGACCATGCAGGCACTATGATCTTGGACTTCCTGGCCTTCCAAACTATAAGAAGTAAATTCCATTGTTTATAAGCTACCCAGTCTGTGGTATTTGGTTATAGCAGCCCAAATGGACTAAAACAAATACACTTTATATTTAATAAGTATATTAAATTAGTATATTAATAATAAGTATATAAATTTAGTCATTTGTATCAGAATTGAACCAGTCTTGAGAGATAGAAAGGCCTAAAAGCAATATGTATTAGTCAGCCTCTGCCATATTGCTGCACAACAAATATCCTAAATAGTGTGGTTTATGACAATATGCATTTATTCTTATGTTTGTGGGTGGGTCAGCAGGTAGGCTGTGGTTCAGCTCATCCTTCTGGTACTCACGATGGCTCTGCTTTGGTCTGTGGATCAGCTGAACTTGGCTTCAGGTTGTGCATGGGTTCAAATCTGCTCCAGCGGGATCCCTGGGTGGCGCAGCGGTTTGGCGCCTGCCTTTGGCCCAGGGCGCGATCCTGGAGACCCGGGATCAAATCCCACATCGGGCTACCGGTGCATGGAGCCTGCTTCTCCCTCTGCCTGTGTCTCTGCCTCCCTCTCTCTCTCTCTCTGTGACTATCATAAATAAATAAAAATTAAAAAAATTAAAAAAAAATCTGCTCCAGGTATACTATTTTGGGGATCCAGGGTAAGGGTCAGTGGAGATCTGGGGCCTGCTCTCCCACAACAAAGCACAGCCTTCCGGCTGCATCATGTCTCCTCAATGCCATTGGCCAAAGCATGTCATATGGCCAAGTCCCAGCCTTTCTTCCACGTGGAGAACTGATTGTCCTATACATGTTTTCTAATTTCTTGAAGTTTTAGTTTCTCCTCAGTGGAAGTGTACACTGTGGGAAGGTAAAGAGTTCCTCTTTGGGGTTCCTGGGTCGCTCAGGCCATTAAACATCTGCCTTTGGCTCAGGTCATGATCCCAGGGTCCTGGGATCCATCCCTGCATTGGGCTCCTTGTTTAGTGGGGAGTCTGCTTCTCCTGCCCTTCTGCCCCTCCCCTCTCTCCCACCCCATGTGCTAGCTCCCTCTCATGCTCTCTCTAATAGATAAGGAAAATGGTTGTTGTTGTTTTATAGTATGTTTTTTGGCCTTCGATACCTAGAAGCTATTTTTTAATAAAAATTTTATTTATTTATTCATGAGAGACACACAGAGAGAGGCAGAGACACAGTCAGAGGGAGAAGCAGGCTCCATGCAGGGAGCCTGATGTGGGACTGGATCCCGGGACTCCAGGATCATGCTCTGGGCTGAAGGCAGGCACTAACCTCTGAGCCACCCAGGGATCCCTAAAGAAAATCTTTTAAAAAAAACACAAAAAACAAATCAAGAGTCAGTGGCTCAACTGAGCCACCCAGACATCTCTGGAACCAGCTAGTTTTAATAAGGAGCAGTTATAAAGCCCACAGTTTGAACCCTGGGGTATGCATATCTGATTGTTCCACATGCATATTGGTGATAGACAAAAAAACCCAAAAAACAAAACAAAACAAAACAAAAAACATTGCACAATCACTACTAATAAGAGTGAGAAAAAAAAGGTATTTCTCTCCAAAGTTATGAGTTCACATTGACGGTTCCAGTGAACTCTAAGGTCACAAAATTCTCTCAAAATTTTATTGTAACAAAAAAGTTTTAATTTTTTCTTAAAGCTTAATAACTGTAATTGTAATCATAATTGCACTTCCTTCTCTTAAATAATGAGGTTTCGCCAATCATTGTTGACTTTTGTTACATTTACAAGCATGAGGACTCAAGTTTCATTTCCAGCCTTTTCACATATAGAGACTAAAGGAATTGTTTTGACCATTATGGTACCAGGCTTCTCTATATCATTCCAGCTCAGGACCCCAGCTGCTTTAGAATATTTGGGACCAACGATGTAATTCTACAGCATGTCAGAGAACACTGGGGTTGCATCTACATTTCCCAAATGTGTGAATTTTTAGTTTTTCCCTAATTGATTTATTTTTTTCCCTAATTGCATTTTCTATCACAGAAGTGATGCAGCTTCTGGCAGCTTCTGACAGATAGATGGTTGGTACCTGAATGAGGATCCTTCATGCATGTGAATAGTTGACCAGCCTCTCTGGTTGTGGATGACTTTCTGTCTTAGAATTCTCCAGAGAAACAGATGCAACCGACAGTATATAAATATACATCCATAGGAGGTGTATATATGCAGAGAGATTCATTACCAGGAATTAACTTACACAGTTATGGAGACTGGCAAGTCCTCAGAGCTATAGGGTGAGTCAGCAAGCTGGAGACCCAGGAGAGCCAGAGATGGAGTTCCAGTACAGTCCAGTCTAAAGTCTGGCAGGCTCAAGACCCAGGAAAAGCCAATATTCAATTTGAGTCTGAAGGTGGGATAAAAGCTGAAGTCTTGGTTCAAGGAAGACAGGAAAACTCTTATTTGGGGCAGGATCAGCCTTATGGTTCTGTTCAGGCCTTCACCTGATTGGATGAGGCCCACCCACAATGGGGAGGCTGATCTGCTTTACTCCAAATTCACCAATTTACATGTTAATCTCACCCAAAAACACCCTCACAGAAACACCCAAAGTAATGTTTGACCAAATATCTGAGCAGCC